CCGCGGGACCAAAGTTTGCAATGTTCTTGAGACAGAAGTAGAGTTTTTTCAATGTATTCGATTTTTATGCTCGGATTAGAAAATGGAATTTCTAATGTCTTCGATCTGTAGGAAGAATTATCAGGAGAGATCTTTTGTATAAAAGTGGCCGACCTTACAAACTACTCGGGTACCCGCGGGACCAAAGTTTGCAAGCGGTAGAGTTTTGGGCGCAGAATTACGATTTTTCCAATGTCTTCGATTTTTATGGTCAGAGCAAAAATAAAATGGCTAATATCTCCGATCTGTAGAAAAAATTATTGCGAGAAGTCTTTTGTGTAAAAGTGACCAACCTTACAAACTATTCGAGTACCCGCGGGACCACCGTTTGCAAGCGGCAATGTTTTTGAGGTAGAAGTAGAGTTTTTCCAATGTATTCGAATTTCATGCATGGAGCAGAAAGAATGCCAAATATCTTCGATCTGTAGGAAAAATTACTGCGAGAAGTCTTTTGTGTAAAAGTGACCTACTTTACAAACTATTCAGGTATCCGCGGAACTAAAGTTTGCAAGCGGTAAACTTTCGGCGCAGGAGTAAAAGTTTCAAATGTACTCGATTTTTATGCTCGGATTAGAAAATGGATTTTCTAATGTCTTCGATCTGTAGGAAGAATTATCAGGAGAGATCTTTTGTGTAAAAGTGGCCGACCCTACAAACTACTCGGGTACCCGCGGGACCAAAGTTTGCAAGCGGTAGAGTTGGGCGCAGAAGTACGATTTTTCCAACGTCTTCGATTTTTATGGTTGGAGCAAAAATAAAATGTCAAATATCTCCGATCTGTAGGAAAAATTATGGCGAGAGGTCTTTTTTGTAAAAGTGACCTACCCTACAAACTATTCAAGTACCCGCGGGACCACAGTTTGTAATGTTTTTGAGGCAGAAGTAGAGTTTTTTCAATGTATTCGATTTTTATGCTCGGATTAGATAATGGAATTTCTAATGTCTTCGATCTGTTTGAAGAATTATCAGAAGACATCTTTTGTGTAAAAGTGACCGACCTACAAACTATTCAGGTACCCGCGGGTCCAAAGTTTACAGGAGGCAATGTTCTTGAGGTAGAAGTAGAGTTTTTCCAATGTATTCGAATCTCATGGGCGGACAGAAAGAATGCCAAATATCTTCGATCTGTAGGACCGCCCCTACAAACTACTCGGCTACCCGCGGGACCACAGTTTGCAAGCCTCAATTTCTCAGAACAAGAGTAGAATTTTTAAAATGTTCGATTTTCATTTAAAACCACGAATGATTTCTTGTGTAAAAGTGGCCAATCTTGAAAACCGTTTGAGTGAACTTCCCAGCGTGACAAAAGTTTTGCAGCTGCAAAATTCTGAAAGCAAAAATAGAATAAATTCAATGTATCCAGGGATATATGAAGATCGACTAAAAGATGCCTTCTGTAAAATTCTGCTGTAGAAATTGCCGAGTGTTATTCCATATAGACTGAACTTGCGTGTAGCAATTGTTTGTTAAAAAATAGGAGTTCTCAAAAAATTTTCAGCGTCAGATTTTTAGGGAAAAGGAAAAGGCTGAATCGCGAGATATATCTGTAAAAGTGTTCCAGCTCCTTTTTAATAAAGGAACTTGTACACCGCTTTTCTTTAACGTTGAATTTCTGTTCAAGGAAATTCTCTTAGATGGGCATTTCTCATTTAGTCTCTAGCGGGTTGTTGAGCGAAAATATCCTTTGAAACGTCCCACCATAGAACTCGCTCAACTGTCTTTTCAATGAGACCAGTGCTTGTTCGTCATATTTGTTTGTAGAACAAAACTCAAATTCTTCCACAAATCCACCCAAGCATCGAATCTTTCAATGAAGTCAATGAAAACAAATGGAGGTATTCTCTATTTTGAGGATGTGTCCGGAAAATTTTTTTAGCTTGTTAGTTTGACCAAAACTTGTTCTATTATAAAAGTCTTCAATCTTGAACGCGATTAACAGCTGTCTTTGATATTTTGGTCAGAATAGAAAAAAATGAATTGAGAATCGTCGTATCTCTCATTTTGACTGATTCTTTTCAGAATGTGAAGGTCACTTGTATAAATTGCAATTCTGGCATGATCTGAGCAATGCATCAATCCCAGCGAATTCGGCAGCTGTTTTGATCCCTAGTATGACCATCTTATTGTGTTAATGTTCAGAGCATGCATGGCTGGCTCGGTTTGCAAAGATCAACTATGATGAGTCAGCTCCTGGCGTGATCAACGGTCTAGACATGTAAATTGGCTGACCCGTCCTCGCTTACTACGAAGATCAAGCGCGATGAGTCAGCATCCATTGTGGTCGACGGTCGAGTATTGGTGCTATTCCAAGGATCAGTTAACAGCAGTCATCGCCAAATTCTCACAATTTAATATCTAGGAGCCTATTATATACCAAGCGAAGTGCATTTAACTCTACTAAAATCAAACATGTATATAGTCTAACAAAGATTTCTTGACAAAAAAATTGTGATGCGATCTAATGGCAGTGTGTCTGAAGGAAAAATGTTCAATAACTGCACAGCTCAGTGAAAGTTACAAAATCTTTATTGCAAAATAATTGTGTGGCAGAATCGCATTTCAAAGCTGAGCTAGTTTACGCGTATTATATTATATCAAAACACTTCTATTAAACCACATTAGAGTTCCCAGCGAATTCCGCAGCTGTTTTGACCCCTAGTATGACCATTTTATTGTGTTAATGTTCAGAGCATGCATGGCTGGCTCGGTTTGCAAAGATCAACTATGATGAATCAGCTCCTAGCGTGATCAACGGTCCAGACATGTAAATTGGCTGACCCGTCCTAGCTTACTACGAAGAGCAAGCGCGATGAGTCAGCATCCATTGTGGTCGACGGTCGAGTATTGGTGCTATTTCAAGGATCACTTAACAGCAGTCATCGCCAAGTTCTCAAAATTTTCGCTAATATCTGGGAGAATATTATACACTACCAAGCGAAGTGCGTTCAACTCTACTAAAATCAAACATGTATATAGTCTAACAAAGATTTTTTGAAAAAAAAGCTGTAATGCGATCTAGTATTATATTATATCAAAAAACTTCATCTTCCATTATGACATGGGGAGCAGAATCAATTCGCTTATAAAGTGATCTGTGAGGCCGATAAACAGAAGCTCATGTATTTTTGCTAATAAGATAAGTTTTGAACTGAGCACCGTGAATCGTTGTGATTGTTTGCGTTAAGTTTTATCAAAAAGCTCTAACTCAGTCTTGAATCAGAAACAGGTTTTTCCTAAGAATGTTTTGGAACTTAATCATCAAAAATGGGTGTTTCTTTGTCACTGTCATGAAAAAACGTATCAATGGCACAGCTCGGCAAAAATGTGGCCAAATTTTGTAAACGAAATGATTTTGTAAGCAAAGGTGTGGAACTAAGGGGCTGGGCTGCTGACTGTCTGTGTGCCAGATCTAAGCTTCAGCTCCCATCAAAGTGGTAAAAATAGGGAACGTTGACATGAATGATGGTTTTTGTAACGATTCAGGATGGCAACGAACAGAAGTATCTGCGGAGCAAGAAAAGCGCAAGCAGTGTTGGGCTGAATTATTGGCACCATTGCACAATTCGCTACATACAGTGGAAAAGCGCTTGACACCTCCTTCTCCTTGAGTTGCTGAGCTTTAGAAAGAACGCCAGCACTGTGTGGCTGTACAGCTGCGAATGCCACTCCGCGAGGCCACGCCCCCAAAATTCTCTGCGGTCGAGCTCGCTCCTCACTTCGTGCGTGTTCTACTTCTGGCGAAACGCCGCCCACAAACCACTTTCGATGTTATATTATAGGAGGATGATGCCACTTTGTATGTATATGGCTTCCTAAAGCGAACAGTTTAAAGATCCAGTAAATAGGTAGAAGCAAGTGGTCATTTTTATAACTATTTTGGCAACGAGCGTGTTTTACAATTTGAACATTCGGATAAAATACTCGGCTCAGAGTTTGCGAATAACATTTTCGCAACAAGACGCTGAGAATGTCGATTTGCCCCTCAAATTTATTTGAGACTGCTTTCTTCTCTTTTCACGCACATATCGATCTAATTTCAAGATCATTCCTCGCTCTATTGTTTATTTCGCTTCAGGACCACAAAAAACCTTCGACGATTGTGAAAGAAACGATAACAGTTGAGGGTGTCTCCTTACATCTACAAAATCTGAGGTGGTAAATCATCTGCATGTACAAGAACATTTTTGCATAGACAAGATCGTAAAATGGATCATTAACAGCACTCTGATATAGAAGATAATTCCATGACCACACTCTCACGCATAAAAGACTGTCTAGAACATGAAAAACATGAGCGCATTACACGATGCCTACATCTAACTACCAAGAAATATTTATGAAGAAGTGCAGCGATACGATATAAGAAAGTTGAGAGCGACTTTTAACGGAAACAATGCTCGTGTTCTTCCTTTTGTTTGCGGCAATAGGTGAAAATTCTTGTACTTCTACGTTTGATTGAATTGTTGCATTTAGCAGCTGTCAGCGCAGAGGACAAGCTCGAACTCCATCGCTCGAGACATCATAAAGATAATGGATCCTATCTCCCAAATTTGTTGGTCCAAATAAGCCAGAGGAGCATCACGAACGATATAGACCTCATTCTTCTAACGTTCCTGAGCTAGGGGAACATCACAGACCTCATGAAACCCAGTCTTCACTTCCTGGGTTTGAGCTAGTGCTAGGATCACAAAAATAATAGCGCCAGCAGGATGATCACTAGTTATACCATAATGGGCCGAAAGTCCGCATCCGTTAGGTTTATACCATAATGGGCCGAAAGTCCGCATCCGTTAGGTAGGACCTCTCGGAGGAAGTTATATTAGGCATACACTCCCTTTTCGTATTTTGGAATTGTACAATTCCATGATTTTTAGATCCTATTACTTGCCCAACCACAACACTAGAAAACGAGGACTATCTGGGTAAAGGTTGGAATGTACTCACTGCTGAGAATTCTCAGAATGTGGTTTTCAGTTACTACAGCTCAACCATACACACCGCTAGCGGAAGAGAGCACCACAGTTACCGAAGAAAAAGGTTACAGCGACAGATAAGCAAATGAAATTGAACTAGAAAATTTAGAGAACACCAAAGAAGAGGCCACCACAGCCGCCCAAGAAGAAACCACAATGACAGCAATGACGTCCGAATGTGAGCAGCCTCGCGGAACAAGGAAAGAGGAGTTCACGCCAATTTTTGAAGGTCAGCAGGTTTAGCAAGAACTTCTATAAATCATGTAAAAAATTGTTTGTTTAACTGCATTTTCAGGTACCACAATTGCTCCAGCGTGATAAATCAAGAGATTTAGTAATGGAAAACTTCATAGTCTAAGAATGGTCAAAGAGTTTTCTGTTTCTTTTCTGTGATAAAATGCTTGCTAAAGAGCTTATCGACTTATTTAAAGTAGCCACTGAAAGCAACAGTTGCAGTGCATCTGCTATGTTTTAGCTATATGCCAGGTTCGTATTTGAAAATGATACCAAACAACTCCAGAACGCTGAGAGCTTTATATCAGTAGGTATAGCACTTTTAATGAAAGACATATATGTTCGACAGTAAAGTAGGACCAAATAAAACTCTATGGTTGCATAAGATAAATTCCAAGCTGTAGTCGTTTGTACTCACTTGTGCGCCAAGAGGAGAGAGGGTTAACAGATATATAAACACATTCACGACAATACGATCCACAGGTGGGTTGTAAGATCCCTGAAGCTCTAGCTTTGCCAGCTTGCGATGGAATTCTACGAGGTTCTGACATATGATTGGGGACACTTCACAGAAGCTTCAGCCAGAGTGGTCTGGGCTCGTAATACTGTAATGTAACGTTACGGTAGGTATACTGTAGATAAATGTAAAGCACAGACCTTATCTCAAATTCTTTTGAATGGTGCTGTTTCCTGAAAATCAAGTGCACATGCACGAGTAATACGGGGCGGGCAAGAGACTGACGATAGCCCACCAAGAAATTATCGATTGATTTTATTGATTTCATTTAAATTTTGCATAGTTCACTCCAGGAAGCTCGAATCTTAAAGGCTATTGCATGACGAAGGCGCAGCAGCATTACTGGTTGAGCGGGGGCGAACGCGACGCGCCTATCTTCACTGTTGTAAATTCTGCGGCTCGTGCGCTCTGCGGCTAATAAAATCGCATTCGCGCCCAAAGATACTGACCTTCGTCATGCAGCAGCCTATACATATATAAGTTTTGTAGCATGCTGATTACGAAAATAATAATAGTCTCAAATTCTCATACCACCTTCTTACAGCAATTTCTTAATTTTTACCTAAATTCTACCGTACTGCTACCGTAGCCCCACTGTGAGACAGTAGTGAGCAAAGTGGACACTATAATCGTGATCAGCACGTGAATTAACCCCAAAACACAATTTTTCATAAAGATCAATGATGTTGCTTTCGTACAAAATGACTGCCGTAACCTTGCCCGTATAACAAAAACCGAAATAAATCATTTTTTGATAATTAGCGCCTTCAACTACCACTCTGGCAAAATTCTCGGCCACGTCGTGAATGTGTTAACGACATAATGAATCTTACCTCCTTGACTGGATTAAGACTCAAAGCCTTTGAGTAGCCCGAGCGGTAACGAACTCTGACGTGTCTTCCACACGCTCCAGCGATGATGGTTACTCAACTTCGTTACCCGCTTCGCGACGAAATCATCAGTGTTCGAAATTAATCATTATCGGTTTTGATTTTCCTAGCGTTAAAAAATCAGTGACTTGACAAAACGGAGATAAACTCTTCAAAAGATTTTCTTTCGTAGTCGATATGTACATCCCTGTGTATCAAGCCCAAGGCCCGTAGTAAACCCACTCTCAGCCCAACTCGGCGGGGGGCGGGCCTACGTTGAACGAGCGCCTCAGTCCGACATCCGGTGAGCCATCGATCCGGATTCGGATCGCTTTTCAGACCCAATGATCCTTATGCGTTCTCAAAAAATGAACCCCTTGAGTGGTCTGGTCAGGAGGCTAAATGCATGGGTTTCAATGAGAAAGTCCATGGTTCAAAGCCGAGTAGTGGCACATTTTTGCGCCACCGCAGGACAATCTTTGATAGCGGCCGCTATCGAGAAAAATCGATGGTGACCGCTGTCAAATATATCGCCAAGCAAACGATGGATAAAACAAAACTACCACATTTTGGCGAGGAATTCATGGAAAACGAAAATTTTACATAGAGCAAATTTTAAAAAATCAAAAAATCCTTGTTTCAAGCAGTTTTTGAAGGAAAACCGTAGTCAAGCTCTGAAAAAAAAAGAAGAAATCCAAGAAGTTCAGTTTTCTCGTTTTTTCGCCGCAATCAGGTTCATCCCTCTCCCATTTAGACCGCCGAAAACATGCAATTTTGGGAGTTTTGCACCGCAAGAATACGTGGGCTAGATTGGTAAGTTACTCACGAGCAACTTACGGAAAATTTGTCTGATCCTCCTCTTAAGCGCACTATTTCTCTCGGGTCACCCTAAAATTCAACCTCGGATAAGTGGCATTCTGGTGAACTGACTGTGACACTTGCAGACAGTCTTCTGATTGTTGAATTGACTATTCTAAAGCACGAGAAGGTGGGCGGGATTAGGGTCACCCGAGGAAGTTCTTCTGAATGACTAATCTCAAGTCACCTGAGATGAATGGGGGTTTACTACAGGCCTAAGTTTCTCAAATTAACTCGGCAAAAAAATTAGCAGTTTAAGAAGAACATCATAATTTTCAATGCCTATCTATCCACAATCACCTCAAGGTAACAATTCTGAGCGGTATATTTTCTGAAACGGTAAAACACTGCACAGAACAACTTAACAAAAGGCATCGTCATTGTATTACCATTTGATTCAACTGGCTTGGTATCGGCAAAGGCGGGGTTTCTTGACCTAATTAAGGCTAGGTAATGATCAGAGAGCACTCGCGCGAGAGAGACGCAGGTGCGTCGCGGGCGCGAGCGGCCTCAATTAGATCACAAAACCCCGCCCTAATGCTGCCAAGCCAGTTGAATCAAATGTTAGGTCGTCGTTCCGAAAATAATGTCGTTTTTTTTTCAAATGAACGCCACATATCGTGGAACAAAGTTTTCTAAGAGATCTTGGAGAGCATTTGATGCTGCATTTTATCCTCTTTGGAGGGTTTTAAAAACACTGCGCACAGCCAACAAGCTCTCGGAAATTACTTGTATCTGCGACCCATGCTCTTTGAGATGGTCAAGTTTTACAATTTTCATAACTATTTATAGCAGTTCTCCGCAGGAGTCTAAGTAACGGATGGATAGAGGAAATCCTGCAGGAAACAGTATAACTTTTTCCCCTTTACATAGCTCGCCATAATTTTTCAATAGAATTTTGTTTGGTGCTATCAAATTCCATTGTTGGTCAACGCAAACCTCGTAGAACATCAATCGGCAGACGATGTCATTAGAAACAACGTTTTCTCCCTTATTCAATAATTGTTCTTTTTCGCTTCGTTTTTTGAATTTGAATAGTCGAAACTTTGTATTTGAAGCATTGCATGACCTTAGGCTGAATTACGTATTTGCGCACGCAAGTGATAATAGCTTTATTGTCTTCAGATATGGAAGGGTAAAACATAAATGTCAGAAGTCGACTTATAAGCAGATTATCAATCACTGCAGAATATATAAATCGAAAGGCTTCGCTCAATACCCTATTTCCAGGACTTTTTTATTTTCGTACGTTTCGACATTGGACGCGTAAGAGTAAAACTCGTACAGGGTGTTTGAAAAGTTTGTGGCCTAAAGTACTTCAAACAAGAATTTTGACGCGCTCCTTGTTTAATGTGCTCATCAGGCCAAGATACCATTATTTCAGTGGAATCAAGTTTCTTGTTTGCTGTGATTCAGCACATGAAAAATCTTCGTTAGCTTTGCTACTGAAGAACTTTTGTTACATAAAGAATGTGTAAATCTACGACTATTTGCAGTAAAATATCAAAAGCTGTTTCCCTTTTCCGGCGTCGAAAAAAAAGGACAAATCAGATAATGCATTCTCCAAGGAAGCTGAAAAAATTGTTTACTTCGAGATTTTTTTGAGTATCTTGAGGCAAAAAAATATTTTCTTGTTGATTCAGTGGTTTCTAGGCCTGGCGAACACACATAGCCAAAATCGAGTTATCGTTCGCAGTCGAAGTGTTTAAGAACACGAACTTTTCAAACACCCTGTATATTTTGAGCAGTCCGATGAGGACTCATTGTCAGTCACATATTTACAAAGTGCCAACACAGAGAATAGCTACTTTCTTCATGTACGTACCTTGATTTAAAAAGCACAGTAGCATGATACACCAAAAGATCGTTCTTCTCAACGACCTGTGTAAAATATATTAGGTTGAACCAAAAGTTTGTTCGCACCATTTTCAAAAAATCATAACTTCTTTCTGTCACAACAGTTTTGCGCATTTCAAATTTTGTTAGAAAGCGCAAAGCATGTAGTTTCCAAATGCCCCTGGGAACTTTCCAACACGCTGGTTGCAGAGATAAAAATGAAAGGAGAGATCATCCGAAATTCGGAATTTTTAAGCAAAAATTCTAAGAATCTAGAAACTGTGCAATAAAATCCAGAACAGTCATCATCTTAAGTTTTCTTACATTTTAGTACTAACTGAGTCAAGTTTGTGCTGATCGAGCTCTTTTTTCAAAAGTTATAATTTTTTGGAAAAAAATGCCAAAAAATCAATTTCTTAAGAATTCTTAGGAAATTGATTTTTTGGCATTTTTTTCAAAAAATCATAACCTTTGAAAGATGAGCTCGATCAGCACAAATTTACTCAGTTAGAGATGAAATATAAGGAAACTTAAGATGATGACTGTTCTGGATTTTATTGCACAGTTTCTAGATTTTGGAATTTTTGCTTGAAAATTCCAAATTTCGGATGATCTCGTTCTTTCATTTTTATCTCTGTAATCTGAGATGTTGGAAACTCCCCAGGAGACTTTTGGAAACTACATGCTTTACGCTTCCTAATATTGTGCGCAAAACTATTGTGACAGAAAGAAGTTATGATTCTTGAAAATGGTGCGAACGATTTTTCGGTTCAACCTAATATTTTGGTCAAAATCCGTGAACACCGAAAGAAGCTATGGCAAGAAGACGCAGCGTCTCCAATTTTAGGCAAAATCGGCAAATTTGTTCGAGAATTTTCAGAGTTTGATGAGTTTAAACTGTACGACAATACGTGATGCTTTTCCTCAACAAATGGCTTTCGCTGAACATCTACTTTTATTCTCTAGGCTTTTTGAAGCTATAACTAATTTTTCCTCTCATCGGAGCATATCTAGCAGCTTTTATTGAGATATAATTTTTAGTATCTTGAATATATCTATACACTGCTTACAATTGTCGTATGTTAATCGTTGAGCCTCTCTTACCTCAACGGCACCATCTTGTGCAACTTGACTCATTTTAGTTTACTGTATAAACAATTATCGTCTTTGTTATTATTGTTAGGATTACGAAAGGAATTTGACTGTTGAGCAATTAGTGGCCAAATATTGCTCCAAAAAACTTCAGAGATACGAGAGCTCCTGAAGTAGCTGACATAAAACACTTCCCATACCACTTTGCAAAAGTTATAGAGGGTGTACTTTACCGGTGGTTGTCTCAGTGATTCAAAACAATTACACCGCTCCATTAAACTCACAACCGCATGAAATTTAGGGAGCCGTCATACCTCGCCGAAAAAACACGAAAAAGCCCGAAAAAGCCCAAAAAGCCCAAAAGCGCCAGAAAGAGCTGGAACGCCCCCTTGCAAATTTTGGCATTAGGGTATGTGTGTTGTGTTCGCAAGCCGGTTCTTTCACTTCATTATTCTTCTTATTGTGTTCTTGTCTCTTCTTGTACTCCAAAACTTGCGAGGGACATTCCGGCTCATTCTGGCGCTTTTGGGCTTTTTGGACTTTTTTGGGCTTTTTTGGGCGCCTTCGGGCTTTTTTCGGCGGAGTATGACGGGTCCCTTATTTTCTTGTTTATGTAATGGCAGCATTGATCATAACGATAACCTGAATGTCTTATTGCCTTTATTCTATGCTGAATGCTGAATTATGCTGAATTTCTAATAGAATATAACTGGAAGTCCGCCGAGAAGAGAAAAATCAGATGAAATAGTTTAGAGTATACATTTACGACACTCTATGTGCCCATTGTAGAATTCTGTGAACTAAGCTTTAATCAGTGTACCCTTCTAACTTAGGATTCCAAATACTGCCAACACTGACTCTTTTGTATGTGTACACAATAGCCTCAAGTAAGCACTTTACCACAAAGGAGGAGGAACATGAGCAAACTGGGAAACCAAAACGAATTTCTATCACAATTTAGTTCCCTGCACTCCTCCAGTACCAGTACTCCAGAATGAAATGCCTGAAAATGCAGCATATTCGATAACATCTACACTCAATGCTGACCACTTCTTCCTAGCGTTGCCTTTTTTGTTCGTCACTGTGTGTTCGTCTTGCTCGGTTTCCGAATTCGTATGCTGAAATTGATCTTTCAAAAATATTATAGCCGCATTCAAATACCTCCTCTTGTCCTGCTGTGGTGGTTATGACGATTTCATCACCTACAATTTTTCAATATTTTTCTATGCTTCTGCAACTGGCGCCTCATCACCTTCTTCAGCCATTGTGGTGTTATCACCTTCTTCGATCATTGTGGTCGACTCTTCATCTGGCAAAGGTGTGCCTGAATAGTCTGTAGTAACTGAAACAAAGCACTTTTATATTCACCAAAAGTGTGCACAACTTTTCAAAACCTTCTTCGACGATCTCTGTTGTCTCTTCGTCTTCCTCATCTTTTGGTGGTGTTGTCGAGTATGTTGTGATGTCTGAAATCTTCCACAGTTTCTATACATTTCGACGTATAGACATTATTGGAGAATTGAAAATCTGCAAAATTATACCCCCTGGTGATGCCGTCCAAACGGTTTCACGCGGCAGATGCGGGCGTTTGTCCAATTCGGGTGATGGTCTCAAAGTTCCTGGAACCGGCAGCCAAGGACCAGGCCTCTCCGGATGATGGGGACCACGAGGGCCAAATGGGGGAGGTCCGAAATGACGATGGTGTTCCGGTCCATGCGGCTTAGGAAATATTGAAGGATCAGGCCCGTGATGTTTGTGATGCCTTGGTCCATGTGGTATAGGAAACATGGGAGAATTGGGATCATGATATCTGTGATGTCTCGGGCGTTGGAGTTTGAGAGCATAGTCTGCGCTCACAGCCGCTAAATATCAAAAAAAATTTGAGCTATGAGTAACACAAAAGGGAGAAAGTTCTAAAACGAGAAAATCAATATATTACCTGTTACAGCAGCCAATAGGATTAGGGTATGCGGTTGCATCGCTTGTTGTCAGGAGCCTCTCTCAACCTTCTTATATGTGCATATCGGCAAAAGCTCCATGATTAATCCTTTGGTGTAGTTATAGTATTGGGCGTCTATTATGTGTCTATGCTGTTTTATGATATATACAAGTCATGTTGGTGCTTGAGCTCGGTCATTATAACGCTGTTATTGCTCCATTTTACAACCTTGTCAAGACGAATGCAAAATGGATGTACCCATCATCTCAACTTATGCAGGAGCAAATAAACGCCTTGCCGAACTGTGCTGTCGTTCTCCATCATAATAGTTGTAAAATATCCTCTGGCTGAGAAAGCAGCAGAACACAGTAGTTTAAAAAGCAAAAGATAGAGGTGTGTAGCAAAGCAAAGATGGTAAAAATGACTAGTACGCTGATAAATTCCATCGGTGAAAGCACAATATACCACGGTGACAGATCAAGGGAGTACACTGGACGGAACAACAGAAAAAATTCTTTTGATTGCCTAAGTAAAAGCTACAGGTTGCTCCGTGTCCGACGGCTGTAATACCTTGAACTACACAACATCTTGATCAACAACAACGTCCATCTGTAATCGGGTATAGGCCAATATGTCATCCGATAGGTTTTACCCTTGCGGTTACCTGGGTGAGCTTGTCCCAGTTATCCGCATCCGAAGCTACTATATCAGATGCCGCGGAACCCGCGGGACGTCCTCTACCGTCTAAATTCTAATCCTGAACTTTGACCACACTTCCGGTCTGTCTAAAGCAGTAGACGAAGGTCAATGAAAGCAATTCACGTTTGCACAATAGTTTTCACTTTTTTAATTTAATGCCATTTTCGTATGTATCAGGTTCGAGCCTTCAAAAGCGAATTGTGTGGATTTAGTGAATCGATGGCAAGCGATAGTTGTTTAGATGATTTATTTGGCAAAGCGCTCGTTCCTTTAGTCGGTATAGTCCAACTCCTCATAAAATTTACGAAAGCCCTTCGCCCTGAACGCTCATTCTTTATTTGTGAAGCTCTTGTCTTCTTTCCCACGTACATATCAAGGTAAGATTGTTCAAGATTACCTGGTTGTTTTTTTGCACTCCATAATCACAGTAATTAGATGCTACATTTCCTGAAGCAACGAGATGTAAACGAGATGATAATACGAAGGCAAAAGCGTCTCCTTGAACTTACATAATCCGAGGTAATAAATCGTTGCATCGACACACGTTTTAGCATTGACAAGATCGTAAAAGGTATCATCAACACCACTTCAACAGAGAAGATGATTTCAAGACTATCCTCTCACGCCTAAGGAGCACTAGCACAAATAATGACTTATGAAATAATATAAACGCATAAAACGACGATTAATATATACTACCAAGAAATAATTATGAAGAAGTTAGCGATATGCATTAAGAGCGACTCTCAACAAGAAAAAATGCATACTTTCTTCCTTCTGTGTGCTGCAGAAGGTAAAAATTCTTATACTTTTATATCTTTGAGGTGATTGTTGTATTCAGCAGCCCTGAGCGCAGGCGATGTCCTCGGACTTAATCGTCCGAAGTATCTTCAAGATCATGGAACCCTTTCTCTCATATTTCCTAGTCTATATGAGCTAAGAGAGCACTACGAACAAGGTGGACCTTATTCTCCTGAATTCTTTGGGCTGCTTGAGCAAGAGGAGCATCACAGATGTCATGGATTCTTATTTTCTATGTTTCCTGAGCTTGAAAATGGTGCTCAGATCAAGAAAAATTATGCCGATAGGATCGTTGCTGATACCAGAATGGGTTGAATGCCCGTATCCACCACGTAGAACCCTTGAGACAAACTTACCATTGGGTGATTTACACTTTCTTCTCAAACTTGCGAGATGTACGTGGGAGAATATTTTTTAGATCCTATTGTATACAAAATCATCACATCAAAAGAAAACGAGGAATATCCCAAAAGGATCGCCGGTGAAGGTTGTGGGAAGTTGCACACCTTTTGTACTACTGAGATTTATTTGTGTGGAGTTCTTTAGAGACTAAAAACACCCATCCACACCACGATTAGATGAGCGAACCGCAGCTGCGGCAGTCGGTGAAGGTTGTAAGAAGTTGCACACTGTTGTCTACCGAGATTTACTACATCGTGGAGTTTTACAGAGACTGAAACCCACCCGACCACACCACTACCAGATGATGAGCGGACCACAGCTACGGCAGAAAACGATCATAACACACCGATATGAAAAGAATGAAAAATGAACTGAAATTCCAGAGAAGACAAAAGAAGAGACCACGACAGCTGCTCAAGAGGATACCACAATGGCGTCCACAAGTGCGCAGCCTCACGAAACAGAGGAAGAATTCATACCGATTTTCGAAGGCAAGTGCTATTGAGAAGACCTGGTCATAAACTCACGTAAAAAAAATTGTTTGGTTTTGCTGGATTCTCATGCACCACAATTGCCCCTGTATGGTAAATCCTGATCTAATAATGACGGAGACTTTTTATCTGCGGATGAAAAGAGTTTAGTCTCAGTCTTTTCTGTAATAAAATGCTTTTTAAATGATCTTGCTTATGCCTCGGAGGAGCCACAAATTGCAACACTTGCATTCCAGAGTTGGCGGAAGATTGTAGTCCATTTCAGTCCCTTATTTAGAGCTGATAGCTGATCAAGTTCTGAAGATGCTAATCACTTCATTTAAGCGAGAATTTACAATGGAAGACGCACATCTACAGATTTCAGTTATAGAAAGTAAACACTTTGTGGATGCATAATATAAGTCTCAAGCTGTAGTCATATCTACTCATTTGTGCGCCAGTCGTGGAGGTGGGGGGGGGGGGGAATGCAGTAACTTCTTGACTGGCTCAATATCCAGACTCTTAGAGATGACCTACTATTATCAAAGGATAATTTTTAATAGGATAGGAACTGTCTCCGGGGTCTAGCCAGGATATGTTCAGATGAGCTAAACGCATGCGAATGCGAAAGTGAGAGGTACGCGAAAAGTTTTAGAAAACTCAATAGCTCGACGAAGTCGGAAGAGAATAAGCTCAATGTTTCTGCTATTTTTTTTTCTACTATATTCGTTCACTCCTGTGTGCCAAGTTCGAGCTCTCCACTTGGAACTTGGAAATTGGATTTCCCAAAAAAAAACTTAGTAGATATATAAGAACAATTCAGACTTCCCGCAAATACCTCGACAATCATCTCATTTGTCCCTTTAGATGTGGTATGTAAAACACATGCCTTTTGCTTCAACCAGATCGGCGGCTGGAAGGCGGGGCTTCATGACCTAGTAGCAATACGCGCGTCCGCGAAGCAGTCTGCGCTTCCTTCGCGAACATGCTCTCTTCTTCTAGCCTTAATTAGGTCACGGAGCTCCGCCTTCCAGCCGCCGATCTGGTTGAAGCAAAGACTAATTCATAGCCAAAGTAGAGAACTTGTTTTCACCGCAAAAAAAGAGATTCTCTAATTGATTACAAGACGAATGTGATATACCAGATTTATGTATGCCAAAATGTCTACAAGTTAACCACACAATATTCGCATATAGCTTCTTAGTTTAAAGGCATGAGACGTGTACTGCGATAAAACTAGTAATTTCTCGAGCAGTCCAGTAGTAATATCCTCTCACTCTCCTCTCACTCCGTTGTCTGTACATATGAGGGTTACATTGCTAGGCATGAGTTCGAATGGCTTGTCGAAATCTTTTGCGTAAAACCGTGTTGTACCGGATGGGCAGATGGGATCCATCCTGGAAATATCGGAATTGTTTGCATGTGCTTCACCCGATTTTTTTCAGACAAATTTTCAGTTCGAAATTCGGTCTTTACGATGTGACAATCTATACAAAAAAATTTTTGCCGTTTGATATATCCGCGTGGCAAAGACTTGAAGGCTCTTTACAATTTCTCGTATTACTTCAGCATGCAAGACAGGATGGCTCGTTCTTAGCACTTTTCCACTATGGATACTGCCATCAGTAATATAATACCCTATGGGCCTGTCTCGAAAAGATTTTTCTCGCGAGGAGGTACTGATTCATGCAAAAGCGCATACTTATAGTATATCGAGGCCGTTGGTCAGCTTTTTCCTTTTATGTATACTTGGAATTACCTTTGTTTTGCTCAAAATTGCAAATATCTAAACATAAAGAATAAGACTTCTGTCTTAATTTTTTTCCGAGAAATTCTGTCCTATGCAAACATACACTGGTTTTGCTTTTGGCTGAGACTACTGGGTTGAAAAAAGTCGACCCTAAATAAAATTGGGATACTAACTCGCTATGCTAAACGCAGGATCTAGAAGATACTCGAAACTATTTCAAGTTAGAAAACTGAACAAATTTTGTAGGTGTTAAAGTGAGCTAAAGACATAATCATTAGTCACAGGCTATTTTTTTCTAATATAAGAAGCAGAAAATACTACTTATGCGTATCGAAGCTGAGTCTGCACCCGTGCATCAAGGCCCATATGCATTAAAATCTTACACATTTATTATTGATTCATATTTTTCTCCACTTACTGTTAGTCCCTCGTCGACACTTTTGCCAGATATAAGTAAATTTTCAAATCGAATGTTATCGTAAAGATCATTTGGCTTTATGAACATTTGCCCCTACGGGTTATAGCGATACCATCAAAATCTTTCCAGCCCAACATACTTACCTGCAATAGTAAGGAACAACTGTTTTTCGAACTATATGGAGATTGACTTCTTTTCTTGAAGCACATTTGTTATGTCGGCAAGGCGATTCCACTTTGTATACATCGATGCACCCTCCGCACCATGAAATAATAAATTTTTTGATGTCAGATATAATAATAGCGTGTGTCGAACGCGTATTCCCTTCTAGGCGACGCAGCAACCTCATCGCCTCACGTTCGCGCGTATATGGCTTGCGCCGCCAAATCGGCCTTATCGATTGAATGTGCACACGCAACGCATCCGCGCTGCGGATACCTTACGCGCAAGGGGGTACGCAGATGACATAACTGTGCTTTTTCAGAATAATTCTGCCCTATGACATTTTGCAAACATCTTCACTCACTGGTTTGTGGTCGTGACATGCATGTCATGCTTTTGATGCCAAGTAGACCAGGAGTTTACCAGAAGAGCTGCGCTGCTGTGCAGATAAGCTTACCTCCAGCGATTGCCTGTACCGCGAGCCAGCTGCTCTAGGCCAACCATAAGCAACCAGTGGTTCCGGGCATTTGTAGGTAAGACTGTAACAGTGGTATTGAGGACCCCAAAATGAAAATTTGAAGAACTCACGTGCAAGATCCAGAAGTTTCTGTTCGCTTTACTTGGGCTTGCACTTGAGTGTAGCAAGTAAGACGATCCTTTAAACCATTGCAAGCTCCAACATACACAGCTGGACATTTGGGACAAGTACCAGCATCTAGTCCCAATATCAGAAGGAAAAAATACAGTACAACAGTCAACAAAGTTGCAGAAATCATGATCGCCATTTATGATCCAGAAGCTTCGAACGGATCCCAGGGCTTAGTGAGGGAGGGTGAGTGAGCTCAAAAAAGCTTGTTTACACCTTCTCGTACCAAGCTTCATATGTTAAACACAAGAGAAAAGCCTGTGAACGATCTGCTCCGTTAACATATGGAAGAGAAAGTTAGATAAGCTATAAACTGATTACGGCAACAAATTATGATTACTTGACACTAAGTTTTGATACACAAAGTCATCGCATTTGAGAAACGGTATTTTGTTTTACTGTTTTGTTATTATTTGTTACTTTTTATTTTATTATTTTTGTTTTTATGTTTATTTTCAGTACAAAGTGCAAAACTCAAAGAAATGGCCACGATAACAATTCTAAGCGAAACTCTATTGTCAGTACATAAACCGGATTACCATGGATTTCCACTCTGCCTAGCCAAGGAATGATGCATGCAAAAAAAATATTTTCCACTTCTATGAGGTTGCTTCACCAAATTGGCCAAAAATTCCCTAGTGCAAATTTTGTGCGGTACTCAGTAGGCACAGTAATAAAAATTCACTAGTTTTGCCTTAACTGGCAGAATATTCGTTCTAAATTTCGTTTTTTTATTCAATGAATTTTAATGTTGCAAATTGCAAGTTTGGAAGTTTTTTTACATAAAAGTTTGAAAATCGTTTCCGTTTGCCTTCTTGTCAAATTACCTTTTCTCAGTTTTTCACACTCAAAGGATCCCTAGATCTACTGATCTGTTCGGCAACAAAAGATTATGTTATCAAAATATATTTTTCCTCCATATTATGATCAATACAACTTTTGGATAAAATCTTTATGACAAATCTTTGAGGTAAAGTTTTTACAAAGTGAGATATAGCAAATAAGATCTTCATAAATAGAATCCGTCTTCATCACGAGAATACAAAATTCACGTAACTGTTCCTATGAGTTTTTCTGAGGCACTTTGATTGTGACTGTTTTCACTTCGGTATACGCATGTAGACCATATTCACCAAGTTCACGATCGAGACCTTGAAATTTACTACTTAGAAAAATTCTACGTTATCAAAGTATAAAAATGGTACCTGATTGCTTATAGCCACCAAAAGGTGCAGCAGAGTCAAACACATCGAAGCAGTTTACCCTAAAATTGAAAAAAATTGTTGCTGTTGATGAACCACAGTAAAGCAAATCGACTTACCAAACGGTCCCTGCGCGAATGTTGTTAGCTACATGGAGGGCTTTGTCAAGATCCTTGGTTACTACAGCAGCTGCCAAGCCATAAATGGTGTTATTCGCGGTTTCGACAAGATCTCCCATCTTATCGAATCTTATAACACTCATGACAGGACCAAATATCTGAAAGAGAGAGAGGTTAGGAAACCCTTTTCTAGCTCAGGTCAAAGCTGTTGAGCTTAAACTAGCGTTGCATCCTTAGTCCTAAAATTCTTATCCGGCAGAGGAGGGAATGACAAGAGGAATCAATTCCGAAAGGAGCGTAATCTTAGTATTTCCAAGAAAATCTTGGATGCTTGCCATTTGAACGCAAATTTCAGTACAAACGACTTTTTTGGCAAGTTTTTGGAGTTTTCCACTTCTTGATTTTTTACTTCTCTGCAAATTTCTCCAAGGCATGCTTACTTCTTCTTGTGCAATCTTCATTTGATCTTTCACATTGGCGAATATTGTTGGTTCGTAGAAATAACCTTTTTCGCCCCACTTTTTGCCACCTAAAACAGGAAATAGGCAAAAAGGAGTATCAGATGTAACCTTTGATCCGTACCTGTAACCAATTGAGCCCCTTCTTTCTTTCCAATATTCACATAACGTTCGATAGTTTTCAGTTGATCCTCATCCACCTGAGTAAGTGATAAATCCCAAAGTCTTCAAATAAAATCCTAGCACTCACCTGGGGTCCCTGTTCAGTTTTGGGATCAAATGGATCACCGAGTACACGCTTTTCAGCCAAAGCTTTAGATTTCTCGACAAACTCGTCGTAAACCTAAATTCCACTAATTAGCTCTTTCGCTTCAAAATTGATAATACCTACCTTTCCTTCTACGAATACTCGTGATCCAGCACAGCAGCATTGTCCTTGATTGAAGAAAAGTCCATGATGGGCTTGTTGTACAGCATAATCCACTGCAAAAAGTAGATTGATTTCTTCAAAATCTGGGGAAGCAGTGAAACAAGGACTTTCCAGGTTTTCTAATACATTCCCACCTTAATACATCGGATATTGCAAAAATTATATTGAGAAAAATTTGAAACCGTAGGAAACTTTATTGAAAAAGTAAACCTAAGTCATTGCCTATCATTAAACTGGAAACATCCTCGAGGAATGCCACTGCCGCATCCCTTTCCGCAAGTAAATTTGAAATTGACTAAAAACTCACAATCAGCATCGGAGAATATGATATTCGGACTCTTTCCACCCAATTCCAGTGACACTTTCTTTATATTGCTTTGAGCAGCCGCAGCCATCACAAGTCGTCCAACGCTTGTAGAACCAGTGAAAGCAACTTTATCCACTTCCGTATGGCTAGAGATGGCATGGCCAGCAGTGGGTCCAAATCCAGGAATGAGATTCACTACCCCAGCTGGGAAGCCTGCCTGTAGTATGGGCATAAGAAGTTGAATTTCACGAGGAAGAACCGGGAAAGAAGGACTTGCCTCCTTGATAAGGCTGGCCACATGAAGAGCTGTTAGGGGAGTTTGTTCGGCAGGTTTCATCACTACTGTATTACCCATTGCAAGTGCTGGCCCAAGTTTCCAAGCTTGCATAAGAATTGGGAAATTCCACTGAAAAAAAGGTACCGTTGATGTTTCGTCACAAAATTCTCATTATTTGGCAAGAATTATCTTCAGACTCACTGGAATAATTTGTCCACATACTCCTACCGGCTCGTGCCTTGTGTAGGTAAAGTAGTCGCCTGCGATTGGAATAGTCTTACCGTGATTTTTGTCAGCCCAACCCGCGTAATATCTAAAATCTTACACTTTTTTGGATTCTAAAAAACTTGAAATTGTCCTACCTCAAGCAAGCGATAGCCAGTGGAAGATCGCCAGCATACGCGACTGAGTATGGTTTTCCATTGTCGAGTGATTCTAGCGACTAATAATACTAATCATTTTTACATGGAATTCGAGAAATAAAAACTTACAGCCAAATAAACACGATCTCTTTCCATGAGATCAGCGAGTTTTTGTAATAAAACACCACGATGTGCGGCGTCCATGCGGCGCCATGGGGACCCAAGTCGGAATGCATCGGAAGCAGCCTGGAAGATATATGCTAAGGATAAAAATTACGAGTGAAGTCGTCTCGTGGCGAACTCCATCTAGAGCGATGACTACTGACAAACATTCTGTGAGTCCTAAGGAACTTTAGCAACGCGCGCAATGCAGAATTTGCACTTCAAAGTGATGAAATGTAAGCTGTAGACATAGTTTCTTCATACTTTATGTCCGTTGCTCATAGCATCAAGAAACATCGGCTCTATACAAAATTATTTTCTCCTTGGCGAAAATGTGAGAAGGAACAGGATTCAAATAACAGAAATTTACATTGTTTTGGGAAACAATATCATTCTAAAATATAATTATTCCTCCTCCTCATCCTCTGTCTCTCCACTTATTCTATGTTCCGTTGCTCATCATGGCATGCTTATTATGTCATTGCTTCTCACAATTTCCACAACCACGCTATCATGTAGTATCTTGTGATGAGTTGAACATATATATTTGTTATGCAAATTTAGTAATGCTTCAATATTTTTGAATGGTACGGTAATTTTTAGCGATTGAATACCCCCACACTTCTTCCAAATCGGTAACCGTCTAAAAGCTCACCTTTACCGCCTTATCGACGTCAGGCTTATCACCTTCTGCGACTTTTGCTATCACGCTTTTGTCAGCCGGGTTAACGGTCTCGAAGGTTTTCTTGCTGGTCGCATCTACCCATTCGTTATTGATGAACAGCTAAAATAATACCAGTAGTAAACAGAGAAGAAAATAATATAGATGCTCTACCTGCGTGTACTTTGGCTTTACATCTCTAATTCCTTTAGTGCTAGACGACCGAATCTGCCCAGCGCTGCGGGCTATGGCTGCACGAAGCATAGTTGATCTGAAGGTAAGGATATTCGAAGAGATTCAAAGTCAAAATATTGGTGTCAATTGCAAATCTAAAAGGACACGAACAAAAATAATGGATAGAAGGCACAGAACGTTTACAAGCGATGTTTTTCTAAATTCACTAATCAAACATTGTTGAGCTAAATTGAAGCCAAATTGCAAATTAAGTTTGCTCGAAGCACACAAGTCTACTACTAGCACGCACAAGGCAAACATACTCACGAGAGGCAAGAATATTATTAAATTAAGTTATCCTAGAATTAACGACTTTTATGGAGGATGAAAGTGTTGAAGTACCTGAGAAAAACTTTTGACACAAATACACGTTTTGAATCTTTCAAAGTATCATGCTAGCAAGGTTGGAATCTATCATTGTCTTCTGTATATTTGACTCCGACTAGCCATCTGCCACAGCTGCAGAACAAAAGAAAACCAAAAAAGATTACATACAGATGCTAGTGCTTCTTAAGAATTGAATTCAAAGCCTCCGCAAGTGGCTTCCAGAACTTCAAACTATGAAATTACTTATTATTCTTTTGAAATCTGAAAAAGATGTTGGCTTTTGCAATGGAAAAGATGCTGGATTTTGCATTGCACGCTTAAGAAATCTGAACAGTCCCGATACTTGGTCTCTAACCATGTGAACCGTAAGCATAGAAGATAACAGCTCGCTCCATCCTTCGACGTCATCACAGATTGTGCGAGAGAGTGACAAGCAAAAGTGTAAAAAGTTCAAACTTATATCTAAATCCTAGAGGTGCCCATAACTTTTCTTGAAAATTCGCTAACATCGCTTGATGCTAAGTGAATTGCTCTAACTACAACGCATTTTTCATGGTGCATCATAAGCACTATTTTGAATAGGAAAATTCATTTCAAACAGAATAAATTCAAAAAATTTCAAAATTACCACTTTTTGTGAGTAGGTACTTTCGATTAGCACAAAATTGACCTTAAGCAAAAACAGCAGGCAATAAAACATAAAGCAAAGGTTCAATTTACTAGATTTTTTGGCATTTTCAACGATCATAGTATGAAAACAAATAATTGAGTCGTGACCCTTATAAGCTTTCTTCACCGCAAAATGACAACAATAATTTGCAACCTTGAGTATCACTAAAAATTTCATGAAATCGTTTCCTCTCTCTGGCCTTATGTCGCATCGGACATTACTGGAAGATTTCGAGTTCACAAAGATATAAGTCAAATGCCAACCCAATCATATCATTATAAGTCAGAGAAATATGGAATAACAGCTTGATAATGATGAACATATCAGTTTAACTTGGATATACGAACAGTAAAATGTGCTAAGCACTCACTTAGATAGGTAAATAAAAAAAAATTAATTACTAGGCAATTCACCGAGATCCCTGTACTCAAAGTGCGCCTCTAAAAAAATCTGCAACTTTGGGGATTTGCAGCAACAGCAACAAATTCGGACAAGTAACTTTGACAAAGCTGAGAGTTTAGTATAAGGAGCTCTTTACCATAAATGGCACGGTGGTGATTGTGAGATAGACGAGTATAATCCGTAGATAGTCAAGTGAATAGATATAAAAACCTATTAAATGGAGAGGGTTTCTCGGAGTTGAGAAATTCTTTAGTACACAAAATGTTTGGCTAACACTTTTTGGAACAGAGATGATTTAAGAAACTATCACAATAGTGTGGCGTTCTATTGAAAGGAAATGTTCAGTATATCAGGCCACGGTCAACAATATGAAGCACGGGACCATTTTTAACAAAGAAATTCCTCAAGAAATCCAAGAATTGAAATTTGAAGCAGGTTACATTCTTGAAAGAAGAATCGACTGAAATCGGCTCGATATTTATGCGTGCACGGCTGTCTTTGGATTTATGCACTTTGATGGTGCGTTCTCAAAGTTGTAAGAACCTGTCTTTATTGCAACCTCGTACTTAGATAGTCTTGTGAAATTTCTTGACAGAAAAAAATCCAACAGAATGATCACTAGGTGACAATAATGTGATATAAATAATTGAAATTATCAATTTAAAAAACCTTCCCACAAGCAAAGAAACGGTTGCGGAAACCCTTGGTAAATGATCCAGAGCGCTAGGCCTAGTTCAAACAGACCATTCGGCGCGATAGGATCAGCGCGTGGAAATGCCAGACATCAAAAATCGCTTAGTACAAGGCTGAACTTTTTGGATTACTTTGCAACAAGTATAAAATTTGTGAAATCTTGAAAAAGATTCTCAGAAAGGGAAAGGCGATTGAGCAATCGAGATTATCAAGAGTTTTAAGAGTTACGGTCACTATAATCAACGTCAACTCAATAAAATAAAAAAGTAGAGCACACTGTCAAATGTCAGGCAACAAAATGTGACCCTCTGTGATAGCGAAAGCGACAGCCGCATAGCGAACACGCAGATTGATTCTTGATCTCATGATCATAAACTCACTTGATTCTCTGCATTTCCTTGTAGAGGATAAATTCTGTTAACTTCACAACTTTATTACTGTTTAATGACTCAGACATTTGTTTCAAAAAATTTTGTCCAAATCATAATGTTGTCATTCTAGAAGACTTGTTTCTGAAGTTCGCACACCGAATGGTATGTTCCACAAATTTGCAAAGAATTCCTGGCCAAATGGATTTTTCTTGAAAAAGTTTCCTTCCCACAGTTTTATACCAGCTTATTTTATTATTTGAACTCTCAGGTTCCAATTTTTATTGTTTTTATTTCAAAGAGGAAGAAAAATCTATGAGACAACACTTTAAACTGCATTTATTCCGCAAACCCACAATCCAACATTCCTTTTCATATTAGGGAAACCTCCTCGTGCGCTGCGGCCTTCCAATTTGTTCATCTTGGAACATCTCTCTAAATGAGGAAATGAATTAACTGATAATTACGTGAATTTTTTAGCCTTTTTGAATATCCGACTTTGAAAAACAGAAATATCAGGCCTTTCATGGAAATATGTTGTAGTGATCTCAATTTCTCTGTTTGAGCTGTGACGACAACGGAGATTGCATCTAGTGGTTAAATCTTAGCTTTCTAATCATCAGCCACTCGAAATTACTACTTCAGGAAGATTTATTTAGGTTATTCATGACCGCATAACTACCTAACGAAACCTCATACCGTTGTGGTGGGTTTTCAAAACGTACTGAAAGTAAGCTCGAGTCTTTCCCGATCATCGGCAACCGTCGAAGCAGTCATCTTGCATATCAACTGCAACCTCGCACCAGGTTCATGCCATTAACCAGCCCCTGCAACGATTTTGTGCAAAGGCGATGGTACCCCATTACTGGAACCGGCCGTCATCAACCCTTTGATGCTTATATACATTCTTTTTGCGTGCTATATACACAAATGCGAACATATTCATCACAAATAACAAGCTCTAACAATAAACCGGCATGACATTTGAAATCTAACAAAGCGTATCTTCTAATAACAGCATCTAAAACGACGTTTTTCAAACTTTGAAGCATAGTCATAGTGCAAAACATTTCGCCTCCCGCTTCAGCATATATTCTTCGGGTTGAAAATCTCGATCCAGTAGCCATCCGGATCCTGGATAAAAGCCAGGCCCTTCATGGTACCATCCTGAGGTTTCTTGATAAACTGGACACCCATCTTTTCGAAACGCTCGCAAGCTTTCTCAACATCTGGGACAACAATACCAATATGGCCTGCAATACATTCATGTGATAAACACATAAAGGATGCTCATCAAAAACCTACCGTATCCTCTTGGCTCTTTGTTACCGTTATGGTAACTGAAATCGGGTTGATTTTCGGTCCCCCAGTTACTGAAATGAACAGGACGTTGCGAAAGGGTGTAACCAACAATTTGCAGTAATCTCATGTTCAGAAGCCTTGTAATACAGTAAAAACTTGATTCCAAAACCTATTTTCAAGAAAAATCACAAAACAGAGACAAGAGAAAAACTGAGAGCAAGTTGGCAAACTTACTGAGTTAATTCAATAGTGGACAGAGTTGACAGCGCATATTGGTGCCTCTCCTTTTCTCCCGTTGGTATTTCGTCTGCATTCTTATATCCCATGAAATACAGCGAGAACTGACCGCTAGAGAAATCCATCTGCTTCAACAGCCTGGAAAAAACTGACTGCAATTGATGGATGGCTCTGTGAAGGCGGAAAATACCAGTAAAACCAAACAAAAGCATAACAAGAAATACCTCATTCCTAACACTTTGGTATAGAACGGTAGTGACTTTCTTGGGTCCTTGATACGTAGCATAGTTTGTTGGAAGTAGAACCCTTCAGTTTCAGGTGCAGGCTCTCCTATCAGTTCAGCTACCTTAAAAATAGTAATAAACTGGTTTGATCTATTGGATAGAGCCCGCAAAAGCTGTTCGATATAGTATAATTGCACACACACATTTCCCCCGCTTTGCATTCTATCGACAAGCATGCGCTAATTTGACAAAATCCTAGTGGTGACAAATTGGCGCAGTCACGCAAATAGCATTCCAAAATTCTCCCCATTCTTCGGTGCAGAGATTTTTTGAGCTTTTGAAGATGCAATCAGAAACAGATATACTTATTTGCAAACAAGAGAAAAAACAACGAGAAAATAAGTAAGAACTCCAATCTTCTCTACAAAAAATCTGCAACATTTAGAGAAGCGTGTTTCGAAAAAGCCTGCATATTATAGAAAGGAGGTTTGAGCATCTTGCTACCCAATGAGAGCGTCTCTACTCAGATGATGGACGGCATACTGAAGAAAATGCCTCTCAACGGACTAATTTTGTCCCAAAACGCTAAGTCAGCGCAGCCATTATTCATTCCATTCAAGCACACTACAAGCAATCTTATCCGAAATCAAAAGGGAAATCTCAAAGATATAAAAACCTTTTGGAGTCAAAAGATCCAGACTGCAAAGAGAAAAAGAAACTCTTGAAAAGAATGTAAGAAAAGGCAAGAAAAAAGACATTTCTATCCATAACTCTCTACTTTAAGCGAAAGCCCAAGCGCACTGACATAGCAGTCCAACTGCCCTATCGTCAATTGCGGAAGTCAACACAAAGGGCAATTTATCCCGAGCTTGAGACCATCGCCTTCCCTAATCTTTGCAACTTAGCAAAGGGACTAACAATCCAAACATACCTCTGATGCGCTGAGAGGCTTGGCCTGGGCTTTGTCTCCGTCTTGTCCTCCCCCAACCATTTTAGTGGTTCCCGAGTAATTCCGCGATATGCTTCTAAAAACATAATTCAAACATAATAAGCTTTTGAAGATAATTTGACGCAAACGCTACAGACCTGCCCACTTGGAATCCGGATTTACTTCCTGCTGTATTGCACAGTAGCCGAAGATGCCCAGGCACACTGTGAAAACGATTAGCGAATTCTAAAAACCGATTCAATGATCTGATCATTCCTAAAATGTACGGTAATGTAAAATATTTTAAGAGCAGCGCAGCTGACAAATACAATGCAGACTTGTAGGCAAATCATAGCAACTTCTTTACGTTAGCAATGCAGAATGCGCCAACCTGGGTAAGAAATTTAATTAGTGTGCATGTAATCAAAGACAAGAAAAAATCTTAAAGTCCAAAGTAACTCCAAAGTTGCACACAAAAGCTGATTATGCAGACTTTCAACGAGTTACGAACTGGATTTCACCATAGCTATTTTCTACATAAAAAAGGTTAGTGTCGCGGGTCGGCTTGCTACGAAACCCGAGCACTTTTTCCACGACTTTGTAGGGCCCTCCCAGCTAAGAAATAACTATACTTACTCAAGCCCCAATGCTAAACAACTCTGCCCAAAAACGAATACTTGAGAGATACGAGATATCCCTTCCGAAACAACTGCGCTACACTCTGCAGCCGCAAATGCACCAAGATAAGATTTTTGAATAGTAAATCTGTCAGCGAAGAAACATAGGTGATATTCAAATGAGAGAACTCGTCCGGTTTAAACGGGTCTGGCATTATTTGCGATGCAAATGCAAACGTGATGAATTACACCAAAGATAGGAAGAAATAAAAAAAATATTGCACTGATTCATTTGAAGAGATGGAGAAACCATCCATGTGGAATTAGGGATCGGTCAGAGTTTGCCGGTGTTGGAAGTGTTGACGGTGTTGCAAGTGTTGACGGTGTTGAAAGTGTTGAAAGTGTTGAAAGTGATTCTCATTCTTTCTCGACCGACCTTGCCAGTTGCTGTACGTGTTTTGCTTACTATCTGCAGAAGCTCCGGATTTGACACCGAACACGGGGTGTGGTGCGGAAGGCGACAATCCCCAATTTTGTGCCTATCAAAAACTCTCCGGTGTCAAAGTGACACCCCGGGGGACTACGGGGGTGGGGGTGGGGGCAGATACATTACTAAATGCCACAAGTAGAAATCCGTGAAAGTCATTGAGACGGATGATACACAGCCTCCATTTTTCGCCGATTGTCGCCTTCCGCGTGCCCCCCCCCCCCCCCGAACACGCATTACTCATCAGATTTTAACATCGTTCTCAAACAATGGAGATTGCCTATGTAGAACAAGTGCTCAACTTGTTCTAAAATTTGAATGAGGATCTTTTGTATGCGAAAGCAATTCCCGATAGTTTTGAGCGGAACATTCAAAATTGATAATCTACGCTTTGGGCACATCTGTTTGCCGATATCCTGAGTTGTCCGGTAAAAATCCGCTCAGCTGACCTTGGATTTATAGACTTAAACTATATATTCAATGTACCGCTGTGCAAACATGGACTTGAGAGGAATATGCTATCAATGCGGTGAAGCAGCTCAAGATCAACTTCGACATTTATAGATTTCTATCTCAATTAACGCAATGACTCCGTGAAAAGGCTAAAACAAGATGGTGTGCCGCAAATTCCAAAGAATAAAGCAAACGATGTAGGGATGCAGAAAATCAACGTGATTCGAGGCAGCAGCGCTGCTAAATCGTGCATGGTTTTTTCTGTTTCATGCACCTACAATCGATAGTGGTGCAAACCAGTATTGTAAACAGGTGCTCAAAGGATGGACCTTTCCTGACGATCTGCATACCGAAGAAGTAAAAAGAAAGTGTGTCGATATCTTGAGCAAAATTTATAGTCGCAAACAATACCAAGGCACTCAGAAATGGATGAAGAACAGATGAGCAAAGCAACTCCTACAATATCGGGGATTCCAAACACGTCAAGCTTACGAGTAACGGCAAGAATGTGCCAAGGAACAATAAAACGTGAAGCAAAACAAATAAAGAAAAGCTGTTAAGCTTTCTCCCTCAAAATGTCGCCACTACACACAATTTGTTGAACCGTAATCGTAAGTTAAACACTCACCTGTCTAAAAGATAGCTTCTTGCCTCCTTTTGGAAGTCGAAGATCGCTCACTTCTTTCCACACTGGTTGTCCGTCTGCACCACGAATTACAATACGGAGCAATGAAGAGAGACGCATCGAATGCCGAACATTTATTGCGCCGGCCCCATCAAATCAAAGTGCAGCACGCAAGGTAGTGTTTATTGACGCGATGTTCGTTAAAAAAAAGTACGATCGCATTCAAGATCCACAATCTCATTTTCCATTCCTGCAAGTAGAAAATGTGCAAGTCAGCAAATATGCGAACAGGGCGACGGTTGAGGGAGGGGGGGGGGGGTGGGAGGTATTGAATGAGTTAATGTACAAGTGACCTATTTTACTTGTAGTGGAAATTTTTGTGAACTCAAAATTTCTTAGAAATTTGTTGAGGGCATGACTGCCACCACCACATCCTTTTCTTGAGTCGGGGTTAGGGGCCCTCAAGAATTTCTGAGTGTCCGCTAATGCCACGCACCTTCATTCAAAAAGAATTTTTTTCCGACCCTCCCCCTCCTACCCGAACGGGACCGAGATTCTTAGAACCCAGGTACTTTTCATTTCTTGGCCCTTACATCCAAGTGGTGGCTGTTTCAGCTTTACATTCCAGTCGTGGTTCGAGATATTCTTTTCGGGCGAGGGGGTGCGGAGTAGATTTTTCAAATGAATGGGCGTGGTGTTAGCCTGCAGAAGATTTTTTGACGTTTGCAAAGTTTTCGCAGGCCTCTACCCCGCCCCCGAAAAATTGTTTCACACAGCTAATTTGGTTTTGAAATTTTTTTAATACTCATATTAATCATCTGCAAGTAAAAGTAAATTACTTGCACTATTTTGTAACTCATGTGGGCTAATTCAAAAAATTTCGCGCCGCCACTGGAATTTTATTCCATTGTAGGCTCCTAGCTTATAACGATGCAAGTATAAGGTCGATCGAGTGTTCCTGTGTGCTTCAAATTTTGATATTTCCAAACTTTCAATATTATTTCATGACCTTGTATGTTTCACGGCTTACTGTCACTTGAAAACAACGTGTCAGGCAACCAAGCTTTCAAATACGGCAGTTCGAATCTCGTTTCTCGATTTGAGTTTAGTAAACGTAGCGCCGTGGAAGCGTGCTATCCAACTAGTAGGAAACACAGGACCGATTATCAGGTTTATCTACATGGCACATAAAGGGTACATCTGGCATAGCAACATGATATATCGCGATGGTAATCCGTGGCGTAGGTCGGTGGAGGATACAGATGGGGATCCGCATCAGCGGGAGACGGTGAGCACGGTCGGGTCCTGTCGTCCTGCCAGGGAGGAAGACTCCTTGTGGTGTGGACTAGTCGCCAGGTGGTTGCGGTGGTAGATTATATATTATAGCGTGGAATGCATATCATCCTCATATCTGTAACAACTGATCTTATTCTCATAACATACTCTGTCTTTATCTAAGCTTTATATGACATAGCTTCTCGCTTGCACATCTTCATGCGCCTACGCTTACAGTTTGGCCACAAAAACAGTAGAATGTCGCTCTAGCCCCCAAAGAATGTGTAAAATTCTTGCATAACAGTTACATCAACGTGCCAACTTTAGTCATCAACTTTAGTTTAACTTAAATGCAAGACAAATTCCGAAAAATGCCATTCGCAAAAAATTCTCTTATTACGACATAGCGAATTGTTTAGAAAAAAAAGCGTCTCGCGAAATCAGGGTAAATAGGATTTTTAAAATGCCATTTTTTTACAAATTTTTTGTTTTGCATTCGAAGCGAGTTGAAACTTAATAGAATGTACGAACTGTTATGTAAGAAATTTTTAAGATTCTAGGGGTAAATAGCTAGCGGTGCTCTGGTATTTTTGATGACTAGAAATCAGGATATCAGAACTGCCGTTCTTGAAAGAGTGGTTCTCAGAGGCAGCACCATTTCTTGAATGCAAAAAAAAAAGAATTTATATTAAAGATTTGGATTATCGAATTTCTTTTGAATTAGGCGACAACTTTTGTATTAACACGGTATATGCGTACATTTTTAGCTCAGCTTATGCGTCAGTGTCTGCTAGTGTACAAAAATTTCTCCTTTGTACTTGACGATTTATCATAGGCAAATAAACATATCTTATGCAGAGATTATTCTAATTTACTACTCTTACACAAGGTGGAAGACATGAACAAAGGTACGAGTTGATTTCCAAATCTTTCTAACTTTTCTAGATTGAAGCACGAGGAGAAATAGCTCTAACTCTGCAAATTATGCGAAAATTCTCGAATTTGCAGTACCGCTCGTGATCTATAAAAAAAAACAAGACGGAGCCACCTTCGAGTCCCATACCTATACCTCGCTTCAAAGAGTACGAATTCTGAATTCAAGGGCAAAATTCTTCTCAGCTCGACGAGGCGCATCTTCAAATATGTAGCAAGCTATCTAGGTACCAGTTACACCGTATGTAGCCAGATTTTTCTGCAGCTTATGCGTGTACGTCTTATAATCTGCCCAACGAGTGACCAACCGCGAGCAAGATTATAAAAAGATGTATGGAAGCTGACAGAGATTGGCTATCTATGCACCCAACGTAACCAGACACAGTGCTAAATATCAGAAGATGCACCTCGTCTGATTAGAAAAAGATGTAAGAAGGCAAATAAAATTGACATTTTACGGTGATTCATGACGAAGGTGCCTAGCGGGTTACCAAAGCACCATCAATTGCGGAATGCATTCTGTTTTGCAGTCGCGCATGTGCTCTCAAAATCCTGCGGAAATGCCTGCGGGGCAAAGTGCGCTGCAATTTTACTACATTTCCGCAGCGCTTTATAGGGAGTGCTGCGGAAGTTCCGATTTCAAAATCTCCGACGTCAGTTTACTGCAGAAAACCCGCAATTTGAAGCGGCATCTTCTCAATGGTTGAGAAGTTGCTGCGGAACCGCTGCAAACTATGCTTGTCTGCGAAAGCTTCGGTGAGCTGTCTGAGTGAGATGAATCGAGAGGGGTCTTTGGATTTGTCGTTAACTCTGAAAACATATGGAATGGAAGCGTTTTGGCAAACTCTGGCAGTCGCCCCGATTTTTCATAAACTGCGAGCAGTAGCGTATTTTCTATGAAAAGAATGGAAAGTGAGAAGCAAACCAGCTTAGCAAGCTGCTCCAATAATCTATTGTTAGACAACGTGGGAAAAGGTTGGTCGGCAGGGAGGAGGATACAAAGAAAGAACGAGCTGGTGAACTGTTGTTTTGGTTTCTTTCAAATCTTCTAAAGTGATCCTCATCGGAGCAAATGACATTGTGGAACAATGAGTTAGAAATTCCAGTTAGCAGTAAATTTCCAAACTCAATGACCTTTTTTCGCAGATCTGAATGCGTATATAAGTTCGCTTTTGCAGCGTTGAAAAATGCAAGGTTCTGACTCAAGAATAATTTCCTTTTGATACGCAAATCTATATAATAGTTCAACTTGTTGCTTTTTAAACAATCTGAGAAGAACTTTTTCATACATAAGCTTCAGCTATTTAGAAATTTTCATTAGCAGTAGAGTTTCATCGCAATATGGCTAGATTTCTGAAATACAGTTCTTCGACTTTCTGAGTTTCGTCTCCATGCTGTGGTGGATGGAAAGAGACTTGACAGAACTTGATACATAGTTAGAAACACATAAAATTCTCTACTTAGTGAACAGTATTAAAAATCGTGTATGCTCTTTTGGGTCTTTGTAACTATTAGGTTGATGCATAATTCTTGTACCAAGATTTTTGAAATTCTGTTACTTCATCCAGCTTGGATGAAATCTCTTAGTTTTATACACAGTAAAGAGAGCAGTTATCGTGCTTTCTAAATGCTCTCAAGCCAAAATTCGTGAGGGCATATGGAAACGATACAAGGTGAATAAGAATTACCAAAAAGCGATTTTTTCGATTTTCAGTCACTAAAAATGCTAGAACATCTACTAGAAATTAAAATCATTTTTGTTCCGAGTCCTATGACATGCTCTTTTAAACTATGAGAAGTTGGTAGTGAATGGATGTCTCTGCGAATAGTTACGAATTTCGATTTCTTTAAAAATTGACTTAGCGATTTTCTTTCATATTGATTTTGCAAAATGTGCTATAAAATACTACTTTTGACACCTAACAAAGAGCATATCATATAAGTTGATTAGTTTCATCTTTTGATGCAAGAATTGTGCATCAACCTAATAGATACGAAATCTCCACCAAATCGCGCGCCACGAAAGTACCGGACTATCTCAATTCTTTGAGCCTTTTCTTAACTGTAAAAGGTTCTTCTCAATCAGATGTACCTTCTGATTTACATTGAACTGCTTTTTCTACAGAAACCAAAAAGTCAAACATTTTTCTGCAACATCTCTATGACAGCCAGAGCCTGGAATGATTTATTAGCCATCCTAATGGCTGGCAGCATGCTTTAGAAGGCTAGTCTTATCGTATGAAACGACATTAAGTGCAATTTAAAAGATGATGCAAAATTATAACCAGAGGCCGATGTGCTAACAATGAAAAGCGACGAAGAAACACTGGCGCTGTACTAACATCTAGAAAGCTTTAGAAGCTCTTCGGCGATGACAAAATCAGGGACCGCGTTGCTTTGGAACGTGCAAGCGACGTTTCCATGTCCGTCAAATAATTGCGAAGCTACCTTGACTCTCCAAAATTGTTCAAATGGTCCCTATGGCGCGTTGGTATGGCTGCGCATGGTTATCAACGACCCCCGCGCCGGCATTAGGCACCGCTCGTCAGATGGTGGTCGTAGACGCGAGGATAGCGCGGTTGGCAGAATGGGGGCCGGCGGAGAGGTCGAGTCGCCAGACGGCGGCGCGGCACCGGGCGCCAATCGATTCGGCGGCGGCGACGGCCTTGGCTTCGGGCCGAGGCGTTGCGCCGTGCGACGCGGTCGGGCGCCTGGAGGCGCGCGCCATCCGCTGCCACAGCCACGCCGACGACGGTGCCGCCTTGCACTTCCTGCGCATACCGAGTGCAAAACTTTGATTTTACTTCAATTCGTTTCATTCCACTTCATTTCTTACATGTCCAAGTGATCTACAGCTGCGTAGGTCGCTTGGACGCCCCTCTCGTCCAAAAACAGTTGACCATCTGCCTAGCGCGGCGGTCAAGCGCAGAATATTTTGGCAAGCATTGGCACTGATAGTTTGTTACCAGAGTCGCTATCAGTTCTAAGGAACTCAATTCATCCCTAAAAATAATGAGGAGTAAAAGTACTTTTTGTTTCTGTTAGTATAAATAGCACTCTTTCTTCGGTTTTGTATTTTTAGTTTATCAATTTTGCAAGGTGAACATGGCAAGCTGTACTCCAATTTCTCGATTTATAAGGTCATGTTCTGCCCCTCTAGATTTTAAATGTCATAAGAGCAATGATGGAATTTAGAAAATCCTAACACTCTCTCTAAAGAACTTCCACCCCAGGACGTTGGCGAGACGGACGCAAAGTTTTTCTACGAAAGTTTTTACAAAAAGCTCTCTTCATAGTGCCAGGCAAGCAGAGGTGACAATATTGAGGTCAATTGACCCAGAAACTCGCTATCCCATCTATTTGCCAATCATTCTTTCCTGTCGTTTTGCATCATAAATGGAGTAAGAAGGAGAGGTTCACTTTTGCAGAGACTTCTGGGTGTTAGAAGTAGATTTGAACTTGAGAAAATGTAATGCTGCTTTTTGCGGGAAATCCAAAAGAGTCAGTCAGATTCAAACCAGCCGTTTGTAATCCCTCTTTTTCAAATGATATTTTATGATTTCTCTTGTAGATATCTTTCTTATTTTATCTTTCATTATTGACTCAGGTGTTTTCGAAGTTGAAAAAAGCTTTTGAAAAATGTTTCAATTCAAGTGATGCGTAATTGCAGGTTTCATGGCGCAGCTGTATGAGATGAAAATACAGAAATAGTAATCTACTCTTTAGAAATCAAGCACGTGTAAATAAAGAAATCGCTACTCAAAACAACATTCAGAGGAAGATAAGATTTCAAACTTTTATTCACAAATGCACCGCTGCTTGTCTAGTTTTTTTTCCAAAGCGAGATAAACACCAAAATATGTGGAAATTTGACAATGAAATTACAAAGACATCTCAATCTCCTTTGGCATCGGTACTTTTCAAATCTGAAATTGCAACCCGCACTTTAGCTGAAAAATCGAATTGTACTTAGCTCAATAAGCAGTCAGTTTAGTGTTTTCCTAGAAGTAAGAGCATTTTCCCGGCAATTTCTAGGGCTTCTTTTTTTCGCGTTTAACCTTCTCATCTTCCGATCTTTAATACATATAAGATCCCGATGACACAAAAATAATGGGAAGTTTCGCAGCCGCTCGTTCTCGACCAATAAGCGTCAGTTATGGCTGCGAAGACTAAGATTTATTAGAAGCTGTGTGCGCTTTACTGTTCTCACCCTCAAAACATCTACTACAGCTGCCAACGCATGTAGGGTAGGAAACGCTGGTTAGATGTCGATTATCGATTGGTTGCTTACCAGCAACCGTAAGGGATCGTTCAGACCGCGCGCAAAGGCGCATAAAGGCGCACGAAGGCATGTGTGTGTGTGTCGAGATAAACGAGACAAGACGAGACGCGCCTTCATGCGCGGTCTGAACGATCCCTAAATGAGCTCTAGCTCTGCAGAGTATTTTTTCTTTCTTGATAGGGGAATGAAAATAATTGAATTGGGGGTGTTATCTTCAAGCAGACAGTATGTACAGAATTCGGCGAATCGGAGTTGAGCTGTTTTTCTATGTACTTTATGAAAAAATCGGAAATTTACGGCTCTAGTCATCACGATTCCATAGCTTCCTGTATTTCAAATACTTTTTCTGAAGTTTTGGGTTCCGATAATTTTTGATTTTCTTAACGACTGATTTAGTTAATTGGCGATTTTACAAACTCTCTTACATGTATCGTCCGGATACAACCTCCAAACTTCTTGGTGCAAATTTGTTGAAAATAATAATAAGACCGCCAATTACGGAATTCTGATTTCCGAATATCTAGATTTCCATCCTAATTTTATGGCAATGTTTTGCCCAATTTTTCCGTTATGTTGAGTATACCTCTATCTAAACCGTCTACACTCATCTTTGTAAAATAATTAATGTCTCGTAGACTAACTGATTTTTTGCAATAGAAGCATTTCAGATGCAATAAATTTCAATAAAGAATTCTCTATACATAATGGAGGGAAGCGGTGGCGAATAAAAAACTGAAATTTCAGCCAGTGAAACTGGCTCGCTTCGAATTTGTTTGTGGAATAAACAAATCTTCTCATCATTCAAACAATCATTTTTATGTTTTCAAATATTGACATTCTATAAAACCATTGGGCAATGCAGAAATGTGGACTAGATAAGATTGATGCTTACGGCTGCGTTGATGAATGCAGGAGTAAATAAATAGTAATTTTCAATAAGAAGGGGTAACGAATAATGACAAACTCTGGGTTCAATCTGGAGAATGTGCAACATAATTCTGTAAACAAACGCGATGAAAACGAAATGAGATATCACCTCCACTTTAGCAATGGTTTGCCTTCTGTTTCATAATCTACGCTAATTTCTGTAGATAGCATTATTCACTTTGTGTCAATTGGCGGCAGTTGGCTCACTTTCTTTGTCTGGACAGATTGCAAGAGAGGTGTCTGCATTCGAAAGAAACCACTTTTGTATGGCGTCAGACAATTGGGCGGGTCTGAAGTCGACAGACTTTGTGAACTTTCGTCTGCTGGTTTGATGACTATGTCTCAAGTAAAGGAGAGGGAAAGGGAGGGGGGGGGGAGCGGGGACTTCAAAAAATTTCTCGTACTCATAGGCACAGTGAAGGATCATTCTAAAAAAGGAGAGAGGGAGTTTCTGGAAGTATAGACGGTCTGTTCAATAAAAATGCTACACAAATGTTGTATGAAGGCGGAAATATCGGAAAATATGCGAAAATGGATAATTATAAATAGGAAGAGTCTGGAATGAGGAAGCAGCAATGCCGGAAGCAGGTGATATGATTGTAGAGAGTGCATAATTAAGCAGAAAATGAATTTTGATGTCCCTTCCCCCTCATGCTTACCCTTTTCCAGCTGTAGTCGCTTTTGAAATTGGGATTTGACGTAGGCGCCCCATGAATACATGACGATACGAATTTCTTTTAGAAGCTTTATTGCCACTTAAAACATTCGAAGGGAACAAGAACGTATTTATATGTACTAAAGAGAATTTTGAGGGTGACGCAGTTATGGGATGAAGATAAAAGTCGGCATATCCAACTCACAATTATCGAAATTTGGATACTCTAAGTCGTAACGACCGATCCGTTTACTGTCTTCTTCTCACTCTATCCGCTCATAATCTGTTGAAGTTCGAATTTTGCAACCCACAAGCAAATGGTTCAGGAATGAAGGAAGAATCCAAGACAGAAGCACCATTTCTCGAGCAATTGCTCGATGAAGTGACCCCTTCTGCCAATAGCTCGGATGGACTCGACATTTCTGAGAACATAAATATGGAGGATGTACTCAATGTGCTCAATCAAGCTAGCGTTGGTGGCCTGCCAGGAATCAGCAAGGAAAGACTGAAGAGACAACGACGAGGAAATCGAATGAAGGTACAAATTCAAGATTCACATTGTCGATCAAATACGAAGTGTTGTTTTAGGTGTACGATAATGGATACATCTTTACATACGACAAAGATTCATCCTGTGGTCAACGAAGTTTCTGGCGCTGTGAACGCAAAAATGAATGCCCAGCAAGAGTGCACACTAATCCGCTGACGAATCAGGTGAGCTATAATGATTTGGTAGTTCAGAACGTTGCAGGTTGAAATCGAGGGAATGCGAAAAGGAGGAAAATTTTCTGTTACCGAGGTCGGGCGCAAGGGTAGCTTTTGTACCCGCATCATCTATCTCTTGACTCAATGAATGCGACTTTCGCCTGAGGGCAGATGAGAGACACTCTTCAGTTGGAGCGCACTTCCTTTCGAAATTTTTTTGACTATTTCGAATCCTAGCAAAAAGAAGGGAGAGTCTTGAAATAAACTTTGTGCTATTCTAAGTGAGATACCACAGCGATTTGGGGCCAAGGGGTTATGGAGGAGAAATAGCTGTTTTAGTGGAGGAAGGAAACTCTTCCATTCCTTCGTTCACATAGACTTTCGTTATATCTTGTTTATCTGATCGGCTTGCCATTGTACCAAGTTCCTGCGCAGATCCACTGCGCATCTTCCGCCTCTTTTGCTTTTTATGCCAGCCTCGTGTAGGACCCTCTCTTTCATCAGTACTTGTTTATAACATCTCGAGAGATGCTAATTTCCCAATTAAATGGAATTGGGCACCTACTAGCAGGACATTTATATTCCGACTTTCAGATTATCAAACGTTTGCATCAGCACTCGCACGAGCCACCAAACCCCGATGAACTTCCTCCATGGTTAATGTTAAAAAGCGAAGATGGTACTACACCACCGCCTGCTGACTATGCGTGAGTTACAAACAGTTTAGGTTATCAATCGCGGAAGTTCTCAGTGTCAAGAATGAAAACCAAACTCGGAATTCTAGTAAATTGTGAGGGGATCTGCATCTTCGACATCCGTTTGCTGAGGCACGGAATGTGGCATCCAATAATTAGAGAGACCACCTATGAGATAATGAATTCAAATTTTTTCGCGGCATACAAAGAAATTTTGAAGCAATGGATTTTAGCAGTTTTAGTAATTTCACAACATCTTCAACAATATAAAGTAACGCATTGTCTAAACGAACTGCAGTGTTTGTCCACAGGGCGAGACTGTTTACTTGCTAGATTTACTCGCATATATACAGAAGACGGTGGCGAAAATCTTAATGCTACTCAATGGTTATTAGAATATGCAAGTGATTTATTATAAATAATTTTTGAACTTTTGAAAAGATTCGAATTATCCGCATAAAAATTTTTTGGCCTTAATTCGAAAAAATTTTGTGCGGCAGAGGGAGTGCATAGTTATTAAAGACCCGCAGCGCTTCGCTCACGCCAACTCATTGCTGCGGCGCCACTGCCTGGTCGCAGGGACTTACGCATACGAGCCTTGGAAGCATAATACTGCTTAGACGATCCTCGAGGTAAAGACCACAGCAGCGAAACGGTGTTGCTAAACACCATTTGTAAAAAGTGATGAAGATTAGAACAACAGAATGGTGTTGCTGAGCACCGTTTGCGATGTTGATTTACACTACGGCAGGGATACCGGTGGTGCTGCTCAACACTATCCGCAACAGTACTGAAAATAACAGCAACATAACGGTGTTGCTAAACACCATTGACAACAAGTGATGATGGTCGTTTAGCAGCAAAGTGCTGTTGATTGACAGCTGCAGCAGTGTAGAGGATGGTGCTGCTCAACACTATCCGCAACAGTGCTAAATCACAGCAACAGAATGGTGTTGCTGAGCACCGTTTGCGATGTTGATTTACACTACGGCAGGGATGCCGGTAGTGCTGCTCAACACTATGCGCAACAGTACTGAAAATAACAGCAACATAACGGTGTTGCTAAACACCATTGACAACAAGTGATGATGGTCGTTTAGCAGCAAAGTGCTGTTGATCGACAGCTGCAGCAGTGTAGAGGATGGTGCTGCTCAACACTATCCGCAACAGTGCTAAATCACAGCAATAGAATGGTGTTGCTGAGCATCATTCACAACAAGTGATGGTGACCATAGCAAAGGAAAGTGCAGGATCAGCAAATGCAGCAGTGTTGAGGATGGTGCTGCTCAACACTCTCCGCAACAGTGCTGAAGAACATATAGTAACAAAATGGTGTTGCTGAACACCATTCGCAACAGGTGATGAAGACCCCACAGCAGCAGCAAAATGGTGCTGATCAGCAACTGCGGAAAGGCTGACTGTAGGCGAAATTTACAGCAGTTGCTTGAAACTATTTACTTTTTCTCTCACACTTCAAAATCCACATCTACATTCATATGTGTTAGGTTCAGAACCTCTCTTTTAGCAAGAATTTGGTCACCCTCCACTCCTGGTAAGCCTATGGCTCTTAACAACCCTTACAAATTCAAATTCTATCGTCAAGTGGTGTTGTATCGTACCGTCATGAGTACGCATAGTATTTGGGCTTACAGCAAAATTCAAAACATTAAAACTGATTTCTCGAAATGTCACACTAAAGGATAGAGAGGTAGGAGAGGAGGAGGCATCCTAAATTTACGAGTACAAGAGTTAATTTTTCTCTAAACTCGACCAGCCTGAACCAGTAACGAATATCGCGACTAATAGGACCCGTACAATGTTGCTCTTTGCTCGAAAGAAATGTGTGGAGAACGATCACTTTGCGAGGTACAGTGGCGCGGCCGAGCCGCTTGCTTGAAAAATTGAAAAGTGTGCGTCTGTCTTGTACTCGTGAAAGTAGCGTAGAAATAATTCAATCGTAAAAAGAGGTTAAAAGGAGACGCTTTCTTTTCGTGTGCCTAGGTTATCCCTAACTCTGTTCAGGTTGGTACAAATGAGAATTTATTTGTATCCATGGGCTTTCCAGGCAAACATCCTCACCACCTGGCACATGCGTGTTATTCCCATGCTCAGTCCTTCCTGGTGCATCGTCGACATTGCAAAATCTTGGTCAGTTAATCGAGCAGGCTGAAGAGAAATTGGCTGCTGCAACCGAAACAGAAGAGGGCGAAATGAATGAGCCACCTAGAAAAAGGACGAGAAAATCGAAGAATAGGGAAACGGGCAAGGTAAGGATTAAAATTGAACGGAAACTCAAAATGGTCAAGTTTTTTAGCCACCTGCTGATGTTGTCTCAGTGAAGGAGCTGTTTCTTCAACATCCAACAGAGTTCTGGGAATTGTTCGAAGCAACGAGAAAGATGGTTGAATTTTTGAAAGGAGATGAAGGGTGTGAAGAGGACGCATAGTCGGTTATTCAATTCAAAATGACTGCATTCAGGCCATCAACAGCTTCTTGCGTTACATCCACTGAAACTGATTGCGATGCAAGTGTGTCGAAGTTTTTAGATGATATCAAGCAGAGCAAGTACAAAGCGGTTTTTGCAAAGTAAGAGCGATTTTCAAGTTCTGTTCAATAGCTTTTTAATTTTTCCTCTCTCCATCGCTTGCGCTTCCTTTCTCCTCTTCTTTTTCTCTGCGTATGACGTTGTAGTCTTGTGTAATTCAGTCAAGAACATAAACAGATAAAAAAATAATGTTTAATGGATTCCAAAAAGAGAAAATGCCTGGCCTCATTACTCTAAACGTGAGCTCCTTATCCCGTTACCTATGTCACCTTCACATCATTTTCCCTTCCTTTAGAAAAAGAAGTTTCTTTGTCACTCTAGTCAGTTTTGCCATTCTTCCAAGTCAAAATCCAATTTAACAAACCAAACTCCATGTCATACCGACGTGCCTTTCTATTAAGATGACTGTACTATAGCCTTCAACAGGTGATGCAAAAAGAAATTGTTTAGGTTCACTTTGGATGTAATGCGATCTCTAAGTTCTGAAGAGCTAGTACGCCTTTGCAAAAATGAGACAGATGCTTTGTGTATCTTTCACTTTTTGAAAATGAGGTGAATGCACCTTTACAGCCTGAGTCAATTTTTGAAACAATTGACTATAATACAGATCTGCAAGCTCGTCAGATGTTACCGAAGCTGTCAAGATATTTGTTAGAGAGATGTCTTCAGCGACGGATGAAGAGCCTATATATCAGATGTTATTGCTAAGGAATAGAACGAAAGTGAGTAATCATTTCATTTATTTATTCGGAATGGCAATGAATTATTTTTCAAGGAGGAGTTACTCTCCGCTGTGGAGAAAAAAGGAATGGTTGACACTAACGCAATCGAGAGATTTTGTGTACCTGGTCCTGGAGGAATAAATGTCGAATTGTCAGATGAGGTAATGTTTTCTTTCATTTTCGGGAACTTTACTCAAAGTATTCTCGTACATTTAGGTTGTTGCTTCGTGGAAAGACGAATCCGTGTTTCAAATCAGTATCACAAAAGGAGTATGTAGGCTAGAGCCAGCGGTACAAAAGCGTTCAACGAAAATTGCAAAGGGATCGTAACTGTAACTGGAAGAAAGTTGTGTTAGAGCTTATTTTGAGAAGTACAGTGCATGATGTTGACCAATCGTTCTGCTATATTTATTTGTGTATAACAGTTTTAGCCATGGATTTAATGGACGAGGAAGCTCTTTCCCGTGAACTTAGAAATGAGTCCCTTATGATACAATAATTATGCGAATCTACGCAGAAGTATAATCCAAGCATTCAAAACATTCAAAATCGTTTTACTAGCTTCTCGCCTGTCTAATCAGTGGCTCCAAGTTATCGTTACATTGAACATCACAAAAAGTGTCATGTTATTGCTTGCTGTTTGCTTTTGTTTGGTGCTTATCATCTGCCCACATCCTGTATTATAGTTTACTTTAGTTTTCTTTTTAGTTTATAGTTTCTAGAAATAACCGGAATTAATCATTTGCCCATATCCTGTGTAGTGCATGATCAATAAACATTGATTGCTTTTTTGAAATGAAATATGAAGACGATTTACATGTTTAGAACAGTGGCGGTCCGAGAATGGGTCGTGAAAATTTTGGAAGTTGCTTATATGGGTTACTAGCTGGCTTACCCGGCTCCGCCGTATGTTCCGAATAGAAAATTCCATTTCTCAACCGATCCGGACCAAACTTGGCACACATACACTTCGGGCCCCGGCGGGTGTTACAGTCCACTTTTCGTTATCGATCGATGTCGATTTTATCAGTTTTTTGCAAAATTTGAGCTAGGGGGCTGAAATTTGGCAGGGGGGTGTAATCGAGCATGCTGATCACCCCCACGGGGTTGATCAGCATGCTCGATTACCCCCCTGTGCCAACTCCCAGCCCCGGCTCAAATTTTGCAAAAAATCGATAAAATCGATATCGATCGATGACGAAAAGTAGCCTATGACACCCGCCGGGGCCCAAAGTGTATGTGTGCCAAGTTTGGTCCCGATCGGTTCAGAAATGGAATTTTCTATTCGGAACATACGTACAGACAGACATACAGACAGACATACAGACAGACAGACAGACAGACAAACAGACATTCAGCTTTATATATAAGATAAAAATGTGCAAGTGAATTGTTTTTACTTGTAAATGATTAAAATAATTTTTGAAATTTTTAAAATATTCAAAATAGCCTTTTAAAAAAATTTTTTTCGGGGGGGGGGGCTGACGCCACGCCCCCTTTTTCCAAAATGTTGGGGTCATAGTCCCAGAAAAATTCTGGGAAGCATCCCAAGATTTTTTCGGATTGCGTGGCTAACGCCACGCACCTTCACTCAGAAAAAATTTTTGTCACCCCCCCCCCCCTCCCCCGATCCGAAATCCTGGGACCGCCACTGGTTTAGAAAGCATCAGAGACTTGATCATAAGCCTCATGAAAATTTTGCAAATTCTCCACTCAAAACTTGTATTTTATTGCCCTCTTCTTATGTGTCTCGCATTGTTTGTAGAGACCGATTTGCTTTTACAAAAGTTTTGATACCAATTAGAATCATTTGTCTTCCCACATCATTTATCTTTGAATTGATCTTTTCATGGCAAAACTATAATATGATATCTTCTCTTTTTTTTTTGAAAAATGTTGAAATGTCGCTTTAGATGTACACCGTCCATGATAGTGTTATCTTTTTTTTCTTTGATAAGCCTTGCTACTTTTTGATAGAGCAAAGCAACTACGAAGTGGGTTCCAAATATTCGCACAAGGTGTACTACCTTGAGTTTGTAATCAAAATTCAAAAACCTCTAGGCATCCGAAAATCGAATAAATTAAGACTTAGCTCAAAAAATTTCTAAGAACCTCAAACTTGTCCACGTATATGCAGTTCTTAATTAACACTTACATACATTTATCATCCAGTCTCTGACTAAGAGACACGAGCACGCTTTGCGATCAACAAGTTTATGGGAGCGTTTCAACGCGTTTTATTAAGTTGCTATTAGAAATTTGCGAAAATGTTCGAACCAGGGTAAAGCGGGGGGTGCGGCACGCCGCAGAGGGGGGGGGGGTCGTATTGAGGAGTCAAAAGGGGAGGGGGTCGTAGTTAGGTGATCTGATTATAGCGATAACATGATATTCGTATCATATCCATAATTAGCACGTCAATTAACCCCTGTAGACAAAGTGTGAGCGAATTCTGAAGATTCAAGATACTAGGCTACCTAAGTGAAATGGTCAAATTCCAACATGGTTAACTTTGTTTTAAAGGTGAATTAGCTATCCGTTTTTGCACTCAAGACAAAGCACTACTCCTTCTTTGTCCACCTCAGGAATCCCGCTTCAGAAGACCTCCAAACTGTGGAATTAGAAGCCAACCAAAATCTCATTTTTCCCATTTTTCGCTTTTGATGGCTGTGCTTTCACCAAATATTACTCAGAGCTAAGAAGACGAATCAGGCTCAAAACATCCCTATGGAATCTACGAGGTTTAGGCTATCGATTCATATAAATATTGTCCGCTAAAAATGTTTTTTTGATATAGTTAATGGCCTGCGGCACCCCCCCCCCCTCAAAACCTGCGGCTGCCGCAGGGGTGCCGCAGGGGTGCCGCAGGCCATTAACTATATCAAAAAACATTTTTAGCGGACAATATTTATATGAATCGATGGCCTAAACCTCGTAGATTCCATAGGGATGTTTTGAGCCTGATTCGTCTTCTTAGCTCTGAGTAATATTTGGTGAAAGCACAGCCATCAAAAGCGAAAAATGGGAAAAATGAGATTTTGGTTGGCTTCTTATTCCACAGTTTGGAGGTCTTCTGAAGCGGGATTCCTGAGGTGGACAAAGAAGGAGTAGTGCTTTGTCTTGAGTGCAAAAACGGATAGCTAATTCACCTTTAAAACAAAGTTAACCATGTTGGAATTTGACCATTTCACTTAGGTAGCCTAGTATCTTGAATCTTCAGAATTCGCTCACACTTTGTCTACAGGGGGTATTTGACGTGCTAATTATGGATATGTTGTCCATTATGTTTGACAGAGCCTTCAGGTAATACTATCTTAAGTGTATAGTTTAGGAGGGGGGTCTTATTAAGACAGCAATCAGGGGGGGGGGGTCGTATCCGACGGTCGAGTGCCGCACCCCCCGCTTTACCCTGGTTCGAACTCATGTTGTCTAACAAGCTCGAACATGTTTTCTCAGGAACCTAATAGCGAATCAACCAAAACGCGTTAGAACTCGCTCATGAACATGTTAACCAAACGTACGCAAAGCGTGCTCGTGTCTAGTCAACGAATGAAACATACTATGAGATTTCCTTCCAAAACTAAGACAGAAATAGAGGCAAGCCAAAATAGGGAAATACTTTGAGGTTTATTGCGCTAACTCTGGCTTTCTCGAATGCGTTCGCTTTAAGAAGTCAGAAATTGTGGTTATATTTGTGAAGGCTGCTATAAAATCACCTAGGTAAGTGGAAATGAAGGTGTGAAAGAATTTCTGACCGTGTTTTGAACAGTAGAATTTGGAAAGCAACTTTCAACAGGCACAAAATGCAACAGGCAAAACCAAGAATTAACTTGTAAAAAAATCATAATGCGATTTCTCGCATGTTTACGGTCGGACGTACTACACTTCGTAAACCTTCAACAATTGTTGGAAGTACTTGTTTTGATTGTTTTCTCATCACGTACCATCGATCAATGCGTCTGCGTAAACGTCAGTAGTATATTTCCATCGCTCACTTTTGCTTTTCAATTTTGAAGCAAGCCCAGGTCTGTTTGAACGTTTTCATCACTACTCGCTACTGTAGTCTCAGTTTACATGATTTGATGTGGTTAGATTTTTCGTTACCATCGTCCTCGCATTACACGTAGATGATTTTGTCTGAACAGAATGGCAACCCGAACATTTGCACCTTTATCTAATGGCAGACAGCTTCTTAGCATTGCTTCTGTAGCTTCATTCAATTTCGCATGCCCTCTTTCAAATCGACCACTACCACCAAAAACGAGAAGAGTTGAATATAACTACGGTGGTCGAAAGTATGTCGGAATTGGCAAGGTGATTTTGGTTTTTTTCTAATTCTATCTTATTTCACTAGTGAACCAGTTATTAAAGGTGCTAGATTGCATTCAAAAACCATAACCGCGCGGCACCGCACCGCGGTTTCCCGCGCGGTTTATGGTTTATTTTATGGTTTTTGACTGCAGCTTACCATTTTTTAAATATTATACATGGGAACCAGACTGGCATTTGCTCGCTACTAGTTCATACATGAGCGAAAGTTCGCGCTGGACGTTTAGGGAACTTCCGCAACACTTTTTAAAAACTGCTGCGGAAGTTTTCAGTCAGTGTGATGTCAACTCGCGGGAATGCGTGTCTGAGAAGGCAGCGTCCCAGGTTGCTGCTGGAGACGGCGCCGTGTTAAAGCCTCCTGGAACTCACATGGGAACGTTTCGTATTGATTGATGCGCTGGAACGGCGCTGGCACGGTCAACTTTGGACGCCGCCTAATCTTGTGATTACAGCTTGGTGACACACTTTTGGATGTCGTTCTTGATAACGAAATGCCTTTTATTGGTTTCGGATCCTGTGGAGGTAAGCATGTTTTATGGTTAGTCCATGAAGTAGTTTTTATTGCTTTGTTTCTTTCCCAGGTAATTGTGCTTGTTCCACATGTCACGTTATCCTCACACCGGAACATTTCAAACGAGTTGATCGAATAAATCCCGCGAGTGAAGAAGAGAACGATTTGTTAGACGAAGCTCCCGAACTGACCGATTATTCTCGCTTGGCTTGTCAGGTAGCTGTCAAGTGCATCTGTGCTGTGCGACCGCGACAGTCCCGTGGTTGTTGTCTGTTTACGTGCATTCAGATGGACTTAGCGGACACTGTGCCTTTGCTGACGACGACCTTTGTTCTGTAAGAAAGATTTTTTGGCGGACGAAGGCACAAAACCTAGGGGGCGCGAACTTGGTTCTATCAGCTAGAGGTGCATAATGTGGAGGTACCGACACTATACACACGCGCGGCGTTGTCGCTTAATCAGTATTACTTTCGCGCCCTCGTCCGATAATAGACTCTAGCGCTGAATTCGCGTTTTCGGGTTTTGCGATTTTTGACTATTCTTTCCGAGCAAGTATTCGCTATGGAATGACATTTAAGTTAGCCGTTCTTCCATTAATACAAGAATTTTTGTAAATTTGCTAGATAATCTCAGTATGGCTTGAACGAAGACCGTCGTTAGAGAATTTGAGGCAGAAAAAATTGGATGCTTTTTAGGTCCCACTAGATCGAAAAGACCCCGAGACGCTTGTGGTCAAGGTGCCGCTGGAAAAAGCAGACGCTCGTATCATGAAATGATCGGCATCAAAGAGCATCAGTTAGCCGAATTAGTAAGAATAATGTTCATAAAACGCTCGACCTTCCAAATTTTTGTAAACCCAATTTGCTGGATTTGTTATCCATAATTTTCAGTAATCTATTTGTTGTATTATAATAGCGTAAACGTCTTTATAGATACTGCCTCAACACTTTTCCTGAACTTGACTGTTCACGATAATAGAATGATTACGTGTATAAATAATTTTAAATCTTTGACGGTGATAAAACAGATAATCAAATTTATATAAGAAAGTACAAATGCTTTAGAAAGTTTTCCATAATGTTGCATTCTTTTTCAAACTGGAAATAATCTGGTACAATGTTCTGTATAAAATAAGCCACACGAAAACTCAATAAACCATTATTGCGAGATTACGCTTCTCCTCAATGCTTGAAGAAAATAGGAGAGAGAGAGAAAGTGCTAAAAAAGTAAGGAAATTTTGCAATGATCTTTTCATGAATTCTATCAAGTTCTACAAATTCTGGAACTCTAGATCTCCTATGCATTTACCCCACCCCTTTCGTTCCAAATCCAAACTGAAAACAATCTGAAACAGAAAATCTGAAAATAATCTGGAACAATGTTCTGTGCAAAATAAACCGCATCAAAAACTTAGCAAGCTATTTATGCTTGCAAATTTTTACGCTTCTCCTCACTGCGTGAAAAAAATGGGAGAGAGGGAAGTGAAATTCTAGCTATGATCTTATGGTGAGTTCAAAGTTCCGGAACTCCTAGGCTTCCCATAGATTTATCTCCCCCCCCCCCCCCTTCAAATTCGCTTGCCCTTCTATAATGTCTCTGAAGCGTAAGTGAATCTGGTCAAATAAAGAGAAATTGCTTTCCCAACCGTAAAAAACGTAATGTATATTTGCCGAAGTACTTAACATTACTCTGAGCAATGATAACACAGCTGCTCTGATGCAATATTTAACGAGTATTGCAAAGCACCGCACATGTAATTTGAGACGTGATTGCATCAGCCACTAACTTTCCATAGATAGGTTTTTATTTACAATTCATTTAAAAGACTTAGCAAGTGTACATCTGACATTCAGCTGTCAGAAAGATAAACATTGGAGAATAAAATGCGAAAATATGCATTTTATTGACTTCATTGACTTCCTTCGCATTTAGCTAAGTAATCTGCTTGTCAAAGAGACTGGAAAGGAAGGAGAAGGTAAAGTACGAAAACCTGCACAAAATTGCATTTTACTAGAAATCCTTAGTAGGTGCAATCCTACCACTGATGCATCCAGGCATACTAATCCAAAACAATAGCGACGTAACTGAAAATGAGGTTTCTGAATTGTAATTTTAGAGTTTTTGGTCAGATGCCTGCCTGTAGTTAGATGTTTTGCTGTTGACAGAGTAGGAGTTCCTGCGTTGTGCTCTGGGTTGTACTCCAAAAATGTTTGAAAAGTGAAAATTCTTGTTTACAACTGTGATAAATGTTCAGACCGCATCGCGCATCGCGCATTATAAATTGTTATTCTTATTATGCAGCACTTTTTCGACTCGCAATCGGTTTACGGTGCTTCAATTTCAAAGAAAGATCGTAATCATACATAATGGAGAGGTTTTAGATAGTCATTTCATGCGAGGTTTTTTGAGAGCTAACATAAGGAGCAAAAAATCAACCGACAATTGTGTTCACATTTCTTGAAGAAAATTCAAGTTTTCTACAGCTCAGAGCTGCATTTTTTTGCAGACTAGCATTTCCCAGTCAGTCTTACGTGAAGAGATCATCTGAGTCCTTTGTAGACCCCTCACTCTAACTCTTCTTTCCATTCTCTTTTCTCTATCATACAGTATTATGCATCCACACATCAGGAATCATGGTTAGACGGGATTCCTTACGTTCTAACTAATTTCCCAGACATTCCCGATTTACACAAAAAAAGAAGATTGGAAATTGGCTGCAGAACAGTAAGGACCAATTATCAGGCTTTTGCAAAGCGCCTGGTAACATGGATGTGAAGGTGAAGCATGTGAAGGTAGAGGCTACTGCAGGACAAAGGCGTGAAAGTGTTAATGGTTGAACGGGTGCGAACGCGGTGCGAGCGTATTCACCGTAGCAAATCCTGCGCCTCATGCGCTCTGCGGCTAATGAAGCCGCGCTTGCGCCTAAAGATACTGCGCCGTCGGCTAACAGCCTATATGTATTTACCAAACCGACAAGCATGATTTGTTTCATAAACTTTATTAGATGAAATATGTGTTTGACACATAGTTATTATCACATCGAAAGCATTATATATATACAACAAATCACAGACAGCTAATTACCTTGCAAATGATACCGTACCACAATACATAAATTCTTTTAAAAAATTATGCTTCAACCGTATATACATATCACATGCTTTTGAAGCTATAAACATTCAATCCACTTCACTTGGTTAGCATTTTTGAACGGAAAGCGCTTATCACCCCGAGAGGACTCGCAAACATACTATTGATGCCATCGATCCATAAGGATGTCATACGTCCAAGAGGAGATTCAACAAAGAAGTAGAATACACTGGCGGCACTGAAGCTGAGCGCAGCCACGAACGGGACGACAACAAGCAGTTCAGTGGCTCCTTGGGCTTGTTGCAGGTATTGGGAGTAGTTGAAAAGGTAAATGACCGGCATGTGAAGCAGGTAGGTGTTGTAGGTGAGACGAGCTAGTATCGACCAGAGCACAGAGCAGGATTTACTGAAAAAAAAATAAACTTGCCGTTTTTAAATAATCACGCTTCGTTTATAAATGATTTTGTGCTACATTTCAGGCGATAAAGAGGATGGGGCGCATGCGCAGCGGTAATTTGACGCTGGAGAAAAATCGATAATCAGTTACTTCGCGCGATTTCATCCCAGCTTCAACCGAGCACGGTGTCGCTGCTAGCACAAGTTTTATAGCAGAAGATACTTGCTTGCCCTTGTGTGACAAATCGGTTGCAGGAAAATTGTGTATTTTTCTCAATTTAATGTTCTCACCTTTGCGATCGCGATACAATCGCTGCGATCATTCCACATATTCCGATGCTGAACAAAGTACGGAATGTCGCAGTGTAGTACAGATTGTATCGCGTCAGATAGTCGCCGTACCAATACTGCGGCAATATAGCGTAAATGACGCAAATGCACAACACGAAGAATGCACTGGCGATGGTTCGTGAAGTAGTGCGATTTAATCGCGGCTTGAGGCCAACAGTCGCGACACCGAGTAGCAAACCGAGTAGGAATGGGCCACATTTAGTGTATGGCCGAGCATACATTTCCCAGAGACCCGCGTAGATGCTGACAAGAGTGTTTGGGTCTTGACCAGGATAGGCGATGAACTATAAACAGTCATTATTGGGAACTTGCCAAAATTTCTTTTTACTTCTACTTACCGGTATATCAACATCGCTCTTGTGACACACTCCATAAGAAGTGCAGTAAGCGCCTCGTATAAACATCGAGGCTACAATCATCAAAGCTGCGGTTAGTTTTCCTATGAGTGGTCGTTTATAAAGGAGATGTAGTAGGAATGGGGCGATGAGGTAGAGCTGCATGTCCAAGCCAAGATACCAGAGGTAACCCATGCAGGTAGGGGTGGCCTGCCAATTACCCAAGAAGGTTAGATGTGAAGTGATTCCGCTAACACCGCACGCAGAGATCATGGATGAGTGGTACCTGAAGATAATTGATGTTACTTGTGTTTTACCTTCACTGGCAATTATATCTAGAAAATTATCAAATTACCTTGGCAAGAAGTGTTTCATGATGGGACCAGCAGCTATATAAACGAAGAAGAAGATGGAAGGTGCCAGACGAAAAACTCTTTTGATAATAAACTCGCGGTAGTGCTTGAAGAATGGTTGATCCGCTTTCCTCATCCATGATCTGGCACCAAGTAGGCCCGATAAGACCAGGAAGATTTCTACTCCCAGGGCCGAGTTTCCCAAAAGTGCACCAAAGATCGGATTGTTGTGCACTGATTGCTGCAACAAAAAGTATTGTAGAAGAATAGGATGCAGTAATTCCATATTTTCACTTTTACAACCTTCTCCCCCCTTTCCAAGATTGGGTCAAATATAGAAATGTACAAATGGTTGGTTCTCCACTGTAAACAATAATATTTTGAGTTTTTTCGGAAATCCAGATCAGTTTTATCCGCGAATATCTTTGAAAACATCCCAAAAATATTTTTACGAGCGCAAATCAAGAAAATTTTTTTGCCCCCTCCTCAGGAAAAAAATTTCTCGGGTCGCCAAACGTGTAAGATTATCCAAAGATAATGCTCATTTATAGTAATCTTTAAGACGAAGAAAAAATTAGATTCGATGACGAAAAGTGGCACTTTTATTACTGTGACTCACAAACGTAAATTTTGATTATCGAATTAAATAAACGTTCATTGTGAGACAAAATAATATGATAATCTTTTCGTTTTTGACTGTTTCTATCTCTTGGGCTACACTCTGTTGCGAGTCTACTTTATCTTCGCGTTCTCTAAGAAAGTCAGGATATTAACCTTATCATTTCTTTCCTCTGTGGTTCTACTGCTAGTGACGATTTGTACTTTGTGCTTTTGAAATTCTGCCAAGAACTTGACGTAGCAAAGAACAAGTGATCTTTGTCTTCAAGGCCGTAATCAAACACCTATTATCGCAGACAACTGCTGATAAGCTTCTGGCTAGTACTTTACATTGTATTATAAAAACGTGAGAGTACGATAGATGGTCAAAAGTGATCTATGAACTAGCTCAACCAATATAGATAGAAAAGTCGTACCTTAAAGCTTTCAGCTGACGGGAGCCGGTCTAGAATATCCACACGACCTTCGCTTCCTGTGTGATTGATCATCACCCAAAAGATGGCAATCACTCGAAATACGTCCAAAACATCTAGCTGTGAGTGGCGCTCCATAGTTAATTCTTTGAAGGAAGTGCGAAGGCTCAGTGAAGAAAGAATAGAGGTGGGAGTGAATGTGCCGTAGATAACCTGAAAGACTTGTATTGATAATTTATTTCGTAGCTGTCTTGGCAAGTTCTAGACTTAATTCAAAAAAAAATTATATAAAAGTTTGAAGTTAGGCCATAATAGGACATGGAAAAGGTACACTAATGCGTACTGCAACACTAAGTTGAAGCCAGCTTTACAAAATGGTACCCAAAGGTTCTCGAAAGACTTTATTACAAACCAGCGCGTCACCTCTGCTTCGCAGAGGCTCGCACTGGCTCTACTATCCACATCCTTCCTTCCTCGTAGTCGCGAACTCATGGCTTTGAAACTTACCATGCGATGCCGATCATCACAAATGAATTGTAAACAACTACTCATTCTAAAAGCTTTTTCGTCTATGATCGGTGACTTCGAGGGGAAGAAAATTTTCTCCAAAAGATCAAATGCGAGTTTGAATCAATTACTCAAGTTGTAATTGCTTGATAGTCGCCAGGAGGATGATGACAACCATGAGTTACATCTTTGAACAAAAATCTTCTCTGATTCTTGGGTAAAACCTTGACAAATTGATTGTCCACGCAATTATTCCCTTTGGTGCCGGTCTTGCGTAAAAGTAGACTTTTTGACCAATTTTCGGACCGAAGTTTATGGTTTGCGGATTTACTTTCAAACAAATCCACGATCTTGAAAAAAGTCCAGATACAGGCCCACTTTGGCGCGCCAAAAGTCGCGTGGATCCGTTTGGCGCTCAGTTTTCGCAGGTTCCACTTATTGGATCGGCTTGTCCTTTGGCACAGGTTACCTACATGCTGATAGGGTGCTACTACTAAAATTCTAGCTCAAGACTTCTGCTGAGACTTCTTAAACGAATTTCGTGACAGACAGAGATTCACACACACACAGACAAACGTAAACAACCCTTAGCCCGTTATTATAAGTTATGATGAATATTAGCAATCAAACAGTAGGCACATTTTTTGGGACACTCTGTATTTATGAATCCAAAAAGTTGTAAAAAATACTGACAGCCTATACACTCACCACAGCCATCCATAGCACTAGTGGAGCCATGGCAATCATATAATCTTGAGGAATCAGCTGCTCCACGGCCTTCCACGGGCAGAATGTCCCATTATCATAGGTAGGCACACGGATTTCACGGTACACGTACACGGGTTCCATGGCTGTCCACTTTTCGTACTCGACACTGTCGAGCATCCAAGCTGCAATTGATTTTTATAGATAAGCTCGTAAACATGTGGACTATGAACAGCCGTCATTGGACTTTAGCCACGGAGCGAAAGCGGAAGTGGAAGAAAGCAGGTACACTATAGTATGACTAAACAATGTCACCTATGAAAGCATCACATAAATTAGAAACGAGTATGAAGCTTCGGGTTGTGCAAAATTCAGTCCTCCTCAATCAAAATCTTGCCAAAAACTAGTGACTATCTACATTCCCTAATCTTCCTGAGGTGATTAAGCGGGTTAATCCTGTGCTGCGTCACATATCGGACGAATGAACAGTATGAGAAGTCTACTATACATGCAGATAGGGGCCTCTACCAGGTCTGATCATTTAACTTGGAGTTCTGCCTCATATTCCCTTCAGGGAATCACGGAGATACTTAGCCATGCTATGCCGTAAGCAGCAAAATATTGATTTCTCAACATCCCTCCTGCTCTCCCTAAGGCAGAGGATACGATTTTTAAGAAGTACAAAATTAACGTGGGATAATACACAGCTGATACGAGGAAAAAATGATCAGAACCCTACCGATTCCTAAAGTGCAGGAATTAATTCCATATTAGGTTGCTCACTTTCGAGCTATACTTGCCTCTTTACCTTATCACCACCGAACCTATAGGAATTGGTTAGGTAATAGTCACACTTAAGTTACTCTTGACAAAAAAGTACGCGGGCAGACTTGTATTGCTCTATTATACCAAATAGCGTCTTGAACGGCTCTTGACAAAAACTGTCGCTCTTATGGTCAATAAGAAGCATTTGCAAACTTCAATGCACTTCAATATGCTAAGCGATATACACAGGTACATATATACGTACATACATACACACATACACAAGTGTCTTGAGATGATCAAAGACGGTAGGAAGCGAATACGTCAACCGCAAACCACTATTCGCTTATGTACCGTCTGCATAATTCACTCTTAGGGGCGTTTCCGTTGGTAGTACACTGAAAATTTTAGCAAGAGTCACGTACACAAATGTCAGCAGATCAGCAAATCTGCGAAAAGTCACGTAGACAACACGTAGCCTACGTGACTTATGCGAGTTTTGATCACTATCAACCGGTTATCATTATCATTGATAGAGGAAGTTGACCATTTTATCAGCAAGGGCACAAAGAACTTTACCATTGATCGTTTCTTTTGCACATTAATAGAAAATGGCACAAAGTATGTCTTGTTCTGGTTCTCATCAATCGCGACGCTCGAAAGTGGCACTGTTTTCAATCTGTCTGTCACAACTTAACGACTTGTCTTTGTCTTTTTATGCCACGCAGTACAGAGATTATCGCAGCCTGTGCTTGATTAAACGAACGCCACAGAATTTTTATGGGTCGAAAGGAAAAGTATAGGAGACGTCATTTGTGATGACTATTCTCCGATCAATTAATTAGTCTTGACGGTGACGTAATTCTGGGAAATCTGTTAAGCACGGATTTGATGGGTCATACCATTACTAGACGTCGCGAACTTCGCAAGAACTAATGTTTTTATACAGTATTATGTACTTTTGAGAAGTGTGACAAACAATGTGTAAAGTTCCTGGAAGAACGTGGAGTTGAGAATTTTGGACTTGTTTGTCATCAAAGTATAGACGAATCTGTAATTCTCATCATTTTTGAATCTGGGAACATCATCGTAATATGAGTAATGAGTCAAATAAAGCGAAACGAGCCGAAAATGATGCAAAAAGCGAAAAGATATGAATTGGAGATGGACAGAAATTAGTAATATCCAAACCAAAGTGATGCTAGTACTTGAAGGCATCTGACAACAGATGGAAAGAGTATCTTTTGATTAACAGAAGGCGATCAGTTGCCAAATCAATTTGAAAATTTCAACTCTTGACTCTAAGATACAGCAGATAGACTCTGGGATTATTCTATAATGCGAATACATTTAAGAATCATGCAAGTTTTTTCTTCAGGGGTTTTTATGAGCTTGTAACATGCATATTGCATATAAATTGTGGGCACTTTTCACACTCAAAAAGGGATGCAGCAGAATAAAATAAACCTATAAGCACTTTCTTCCAGCTCCACTATAACTTATCCCTCTCTTTTATTCCACACTGCAATGCAAGTATAAGTGATTTTACATATTTCTAATGATTTTAACTAGTTTTGGAAACAGGCTAGGAGCCACTGAACAAACTGCTTACCAACATTGAAAAGTCCTCTAAACGGTAAGTTCTTTTTTCCAAAACTCTGTTCTGCTCAGAGTTCCACTTTGTGAGCTACATAAATAGCTAAGACAAAAGTCATAGCTCTAGTCAGCTAGGTTACAAGTTTTTATCAAAACCCTCTACCGTAAAAGTGGGCGATCAAGTGCATAATTTAATAAAAGAAAAATAGTTTTACATGTTTTGGTTCGTTTCGTCCCTTTCCTTAGACGGAGTTTTGAGATCTAGATCCTCTCCAGGACTTATCAGTAAGGAGAGAGGGTCTAGTTTAAATGAGTATTTTTTTTTTGAAAAAAAAAAACGGTTGTTATAAGGAACAATTTTGAAGCTACGTCACGGGTATTGAGCCCCGAGATAGAGTTATCTTCTATATGGTGAAAAGCTTTTCCGCCTTCTTTTTCACTATTTTACAGTTTGTGAGGATGTTTGCTATAGAAAGAAGAAAGAACACAAAGGAGGAAATCAACGACATAATGACTGAATTTACCCCTTAGAATGGTCAAAATCAAAAGATTAAAAATCAAATACGCTGCGATAAACTCAGCAAGAAAGCAAATTTGAGAATCCAAAAAAAATTTACGTGCTCTAGTCGGTTGAATTCGTCATAACCGCATATAATCCGCGATTTCATTGCGCTAGGCAACCGCCCTCTCAGCAGCTGTTCCCACGGAATCACATGCCGGTCTCATGAATGTCAACATTGTACCATTGTACTCGCATCATCAATGGGCTGAGTTTAAATTTCGATTAGCTTCCAAAAAAACTCGGAGCAAAGTCCTAATATCGTCTGAGTAAAGACTGTTGAATAAAGATCCTATGATGATCTGAGGAAGAGGCTATTTTGAAGAAAAGGAAGTAAGGTTATGCGTTCTGCACTGAATAAAGGATCTGTGAAACTGTAGGGGACTACTAATCATCTTCGTACTTAACAGAAACACTACTCTTCCTTAGATTTAGAATATGAAAACACGATGTGATGAGATAGGAATCAAATACAAACAACTTTCACAGATGAGTTGTCGTCTTGATGAAGTAGAGGATATTTCAATACGATCTCTGCATTCTTTGATCTATAGATGATATAGTAATGCTAAAATTGCAGCCACTCTGAGATTTGCTTTATCTTACACTGTTTAGCAAAAAACGAATCCAAATTTCAATATTAGCTGCAAATCACACTGCTCAACACTATTTAGAGAATTTTGCGGTTTTACGAACACGGAAGGAGGCATGAGCGAAAATGGCAGAAACGGCAAAATCGAGGTTGGTCAAAGAATTAAGAATTACAGCCACCTTCTGCTTCACAGGACTTAGTGCATAAATTGGAGGCTGGGACTGGGACTATGGTGTACTGGGGGGGGGGGGGGGGCTATTGCCTAAAACTATCAGAATCTGACAGGTGTCCATTTCGCCGACCCACTGCCTTTAGGGGAGGGAGATGCACCTGCAGCCCAGATAACAGAAGGTGATGAGTTTTTTTTCAAAGATGAGCAGAAAGTGTGCAAGTCTTGATCAACCTCAGTTTTGCCGATTTCGTCATTTTACACATGGCCTCCTAGTGCGCATAAGAATGCCAAAATTTTCTATGTAATGTTAATGTGATTTGCACGTAATAACAAAAATGGGATTCTTTGCGAAAAAGAGTAAGATGAAGCAAAATTTCAAAGCGGAGCGGCTGCAAAGTTTTGCCCGGCACTGTGCTCCTTGAACTGGATGATAAGGAAATTAAAATTGTGGTGAACACTCCTCGACACATATAACCATCTTTGCGACTGTATTTGATTCTAAGTTACCATCGCGTCGACGATAGAGAGGACTAAAGAAAATCTTCTGATAAACTTTATTCATTCATATGAATTAGCATGGCTTTGACAAAGACCCTTCCTTATTAAGTACTATACTCCATCTTGCCTACGTGATTCCCAAAAATTTTTAAAACAAATCATACTTCAGCAGTCATAGCATAGTCTTTCAAGTCATAGCAAATTATAATTGCTCATCTCGTTCCATTTTTCCGACCGTTGTTTAAAGGTCATAAATCCTATGTTAAATGTCTATATAAGCAGCAGGGCAAAAACCGCGGCTGCAGAAGTGAATGCTAAATGGCTGTTGGGAAAGAAAAAGAACTGTAGACAGGTCTTAAAATGCCATTCAACGTGAAGTAATGCAGAAATGGGCCTAGGTGAACCGGTGCTTGAAAGCGATCGTTTTAAAAGCTCACAAAACGTAGGTGATTAGCATAGGATGGTGCCGTTCTTGCACGTAGTCGGAAAGGCAATGGGACCCAGAGCAGACTTCTACGCATATATTGAGGTTTGTCTTTACATAGTTATAGCCTAATGAAAAAGCTAGGCCCAGAAAAAAAAGTAGAATAACTTGTAGGCGCAGGTTCAGATGACCAGCTCGGTCCCAGTAGGAAAACACACTGAGGCACGCGGCAGCCAATGGCAACAGCGCGCCCCTACCATTGGTTGGAAATGCCTGATAGCTTTAGTCTTTGACAATTGGGAGCCCGGCCTGATCTGTAGATTGTACAGTTGGCTGATTTCTAGACGATGGATTATTATGGCCAATTGCTGACGTCTCGGTACCCCAAATCTATCCAAGCTAAGTGAAGATTCTTATGAGAAAAGTGAAGGATCAGCAACACAGTTCTAAAGCTGACGAAATTTTTACATATAAGCACATTGAAAATGTCGGAGAAATTATCACTCCTTGGAATCGGTGACGAAGAGAACACATTTCTGTCAGCAATTTTCAGGTAAAAATTTAATATTTTTTCCGCTAAGTGTACACTTCGCTGTTCAAGCTACACTTCTTGATTTATGTGCACTAACCGCTCTACACAAAGCATAAATTGCTAATTGCTAGACTTTGTCGTTCAGTTTATTAGACTTTACAACTCTTCAAAGACTTTCCTTCACATCTCAATGGCTTTTCGAGAGAACCAAAAAGGTTTAAGCAGGTATAAAGCAAAAGCTTATGGGTTGTCTACCATAAACGAACACTTGCTTATATGTGGAGACAACCTATCGCTCTGTTTCAAAATCTTGAAAAATCTCATGCAGATTAAGAAACATAATTTGAAATTTTCATATATCGTCTCGCAAACTACAGAAAAGGGAGGTACTTTGACAAGGAAGTATTGGACATAATCCTATATCGCCACGCATTTAGGACCACGATCAGGCTCAAATACTATACCAGAAAACTTGAAGAGTGGAAGCATTCAGAGCATCAAATTGGGGGCTAACTCGGTGAAAGCAGAAAGTATAATATGGGTACATTATTTGAGAAAAACTATAAGACATGCTTCTACTCTATCCAATAGCATCAAAATATGTACAGATTATACAAAGCCAAGGCTGAGTGTAACACTAGAAATTATTAACTTTGAGCGAATGCCGGTGATTTTCGATCAGTCTGAGAAACTTTAGAGATGGCCAGCTGACAGTATGTGACAAGCAAGTTCAAATGGAACAGCTGTTGACAAGAACTTTAGTTGAAGTAGTCTCACTCATAAAGAAATTTTCCATTACGCGTCACCGAAATTGCGAGAAACTTATGTAGCCTTTGTCAATCAGGCTTTTCTAACCAACTCAAACAAAAACTCCAACTTTAGTGAGTTCGTTGTAAAATTCGTACCATCATGGCGGTTCGTCATAGGATTTAGTAATTTTGCTGACTTTTTTGAATTGTAAGCCGTAAGAGCGGCCATACGATATAAAAACACTTTCCGATGTCCTTCAGGATAAACGACTGAACAGGTGCCGAATTTTTTTGACGAAAAACTGAATTTTACCCAGATAAAATAAGTGAAAAGCACTTATAGAGCTCGAAAAAATCTCTTGTATCAAGGCAATTACTAAAAATCATAGTCTTATAAATGGGACTCAATTTGCATGAATTTAGACTTAGCAGAAAATACTATACTTTCAACTATTTCGAATATGAAATATTCCAACGCTTAGGAAGAAATTCAATTACACTGCTTCCAGTTCCGTTCTTCTTTCACAACTGGTTATTTCCAGCACCATCTGGTGAGCCCTACATTACATAGCTTTCGTCCCAAGAAGAATTTCCACGATATTCTGCGTGTGAGCCAAGTTTTGAGCAGCTGACAAAAACTGACATAAAATAATTACGTTCAAGGATCGGCCCGGGCATCAGGGGAGTTCAAAACGAAGTCCCCTTTGATCTTGAAAATTTCATACGAAGTCCCCTTTGACGCTAAGTCCTAAAATATAAAAATAAACCTAAAAAAACGAAACGGCGACAAAAAAACGCCGCAATTTTTGTCTTTTCGGCCACAAGAATTATCGCCCCTTTCTATTTGTCCCATAAACGATATCCAGCTTGACTCGCTGCCAGCTGTGCCGAGCTCTAATTTTATTCTATCATTACAAACCTAGAGAGATCCGATTAACTCCTTGTTTCCAGCACAAGTAGTTCGGAGGAAGTCCTTGCGATTACTGCAGGAAGTAATTCTTTCAAAAAAGAGACTAAAAAGAAGACGAAGCCTTGGCAAGTCGTATGAAGTGATTGCACAAAAGTAACAATAAGCAGCCAATTACGGATGAGACTACTTCTTGACTTCATGAGGACATGATGCAATAGTCTACTGCAAAGATGATATAGAAAGTGTATAAGCTAGAATGTGATGTGTTTAGGGGTATGATTGGAATCTTATGATAGAATCTGATGGCAGTGAGTTAGTAGACTCGATCGCAAAAAGATTATCGCACCATAAGCGAAGAATGATTAGGTATGAAAGTCACTGCTTTCGACCGTGAAGTGTATACGATCATAGCCAACAGATGCATTTACAAAGTCTTGACAAACTTTTTTACATGCTACTCGCCTTAGAACTTCCTGAGATAGAGTGCATAATAACTAAATTTGTTCGGAAATATGGGCGACCAAACACGAAGCAATAGTCACAGATTTCACTTTTATTCATATGGATTCGCTAATTAGCGGTGCCTTTTTCTGCACACTCGTTGGAGCAAGTCCACCAATTTTGGTCAGTCTTCTGTAGGAATGGAAAGGCTCTAATTGAGAGAGCTCTCATAAACTACTGACCATTTCAGACTAACAGAACAAACACGAAGAAACAATGTGACCAATCTATTTTCAAGCGTTCCTGTCCTACTAGAAAAGGCACAATGGGAAGAATGGACATTCTGAAATCGAATTTTCCACTTTAGTGGATCCATAATATTTCTGCTTCGTCTGTTTCATTTGATACGTTGACGACCATGTGCATATGCCCGTATGCACGCCTTGACCCCCGTTTGGCATTTTCGTGCATACGCACACATGCACATTAGTTTCTTACGTGTAAGGAAAAAAGTGCAAGGTAGTTTCTATGCAGTAATACTACTGATGGCCTGATCGTCATATAGAACACAGGGCATCGCGGCAGCTGTTCATCGAACCCCCAAACTTTTTATTGAGTCTATTCTTGTTTTAGCAGAATATGCTAAATATGATTTTCCGAGAAGGCGAAATCTCTGTACAGCTGTTTTGAGAGCCAAGGATAATCAAACAAAAATAACCTAGTTTCAAAACGTTTTCCTCGAAAGAAGACTCCCCACACATAGCGATTGCATAGTTTATTGGAGGAAAAAGCCGTGCAAAATTCTTGATGTGTGTATTTCCTGATGAGATCTGTCATTTACATGTATTTCTGGAAGAAGTTCGCATGTTTTATATATGAGCGTCAGGAAGATTTCTACAAAGTGGTTTCGTGCATATGCGCATATGCACGACCCAAATGCGCGAGAAACCTTAGTGGAAATTCGTCCAAAATAGCTCTCAGTTGTCAACGTGTTTGACAGAGATATTTTGATTTTTATAGGCTTATCTTTCTGCCTAAAATACTTATTTTGCGGCGGATGTTTTTTCTCCGCATATTTGGCGCGAATCACAGTCACTCACCCGGAACTTGCTTATTTAGAACACTGCACAAAAACCTGTTTCGCGGGCTTTCACTGAGAAAAGTGAATGGCCAGGATGAGTCAGCAAAGTCAGTGGTCAGTAGGGGAGCTTTTTTGCTGTTTGAAGCGAGGAACTCGTACAAGGACTCAATTGTTCGATAAGGCAAATCTAGGTGCTGAACAGACAAAAGGCCAAATCAAAGATAACGTGGAGGTCCAGTGAATCATATCCAGTTTCACAAACATGGGTCATAATCTGGCAAACGTAAAAAGCCAGGTGTAGAATATTAATTTGGAAAAATGAGCTAAAATAAACGAGCGATGCTATTTTTAGCTCAGAATTCTTTAGCATCCCATCTACCAAAAATTTCTGTCAGTGTGAACTGATTCACCTCTCCAATGCCAGAAGCGGAAAGTTCGTTCGCTGTTCAAACCGGACCGCCTTTCTGAACTCAATCCCAGCAAAAGACACATATCTATCAAAATTGATGTAATACTGAATCTAATGTCAACGAGTATCACGACTCATCCCTCGCTATATAAGGTTCGATTTGCGCTGTGTTGACACCAGCAGCAACATGCTCATGAAAAGCCTCGTCGGCCTTGCTTCCATCGCTAGCGCCCTGCTAATCATCGGTGCGATCGGCTTAATCGCTCATATCTACAACGATTTTAGCGAATTTTATGAGAAGGCACAAGTGGAACTGAGCGAGTTTAAGGTAAGCATCAAAATTCTTATTTTTAAAAGTCTAACATCTGCAAATTTTTGTAGGTGGATGCTGATGGCGCTTGGGATCAGATGGTTTTTTCGCTGAAAGACCATCACCCTCGAGAAGCTCGTGCCATAAAGATTCGTCGCAAAAAGAAGCAAAGCGCTTCTTACGATGGCGGAGATGACTCTAATGCTGGCGGCGGTACGTGCGATTGCGCTGCAGGACCGAACACTTGCCCACCAGGACCAGCAGGACCTCCTGGACAACCTGGAACGCCAGGAGAAGACGCTATGCCCGGACAAGATGGTGCGCCAGGAAGAGCTGGAATTTCCATCATCGATATAGGAGGTGGAGATGATCAAGGAGGATATGGCGGCGGTTCCTCCAATGATGAATGCATATCGTGCCCAGCAGGCCCTCCAGGACCACCTGGAAGTGATGGCCCTCCTGGACCAGCAGGACCAGATGGCAAGCTAGGAGCACCAGGTCACAAAGGAAATGGTGGACATTCTGGTGGACCTGGAGCAATGGGAGACGCTGGAGCTCCAGGACAGCCCGGTCAACCAGGACAACCTGGAGCACCCGGACAAGGTGCAAAACACGGGAAGGGTAAGCCTGGCGCACCGGGACCTGCTGGATCAATGGGAGCACCTGGCCAACCTGGATCTGTAGGACAACCAGGAGGCCCTGGAAAAGCTGGTCCACAAGGAGCAGCCGGAGCACCTGGACATGCTGGATCACCAGGACCTCATGGCCACGATGGCGAACACGGCGGACCAGGACATCCAGGAAAAGATGCTGCTTACTGCCCATGCCCTCCTCGTACTTCCACTTATGATTCCGGAGTAACAGAGGCCGCTGGATACGAGGCTGGAGCGACGGAGGCTCCAGGCTACGATGCTGGAGCGACAGAAGCACCAGGATACGACGCTGGAGCGACGGAGGCTCCAGGCTACGATAACGCAGCGTCTCAGTCGCCAGGATATACTCCTCCCGTATCGGAAGCTCCAGCTTATGAGGTAGAAGCGTCAGAGGAGCCTGCTAATGGGCCTGCAGTATCTCCAGCTCCACAGAACTATGGAGGAGCAAATGGTGGCGGCCCTAGCGATTATCGCAAGCGCCGTGTCAGAAAGCTTCGCAAGGTCAAGAAGATTGTCAAGGTTTGATTCGGTTCTCACATTATGCTTGTAAATTTGTGTTTCTCTTGGAATAAATGTCATGAAAATAACCTCGATACAGCTACATAAGATTGCTGCCTCAATCGCATAATGGATTTGAGAATTATGTAATCGACGTAAACGGTTGTGATTATATATCAGACACCGACAAACATACCTACAAAAACGATAGAGCATTGGAAATGGATACCTGTGCAGTTCAAATAAGAACTCGTCAGATTAGAGACTTGTAGCATATGGAGAATAACATTGGCTTTCAAATCTATAAGTTTATAGCAGTTATCACTTTGCTTGCCTTCTCAAAATTTTAATTCAAGAAACGATGAATTTTCCAAGCTTCCACTCAGCTATGCCTGGCAACCATCTGCTGATCTTTGTAGTAGTAAGACCTACACGTTTTTAGTATTTGTAAACAGCAGGTATGACTATTTACGACCCTTTCCGACGTTTGTCGTGTTCCCTTCCTCATCTACTGGTGGTTTAGCTGGATAAGACGTATCTAACAATAAGTATTCCAAATTTTCCAATTTTCAATAACGAGTAGAACTATTTACAACATTTTCGACATTTGTTGTGTCATTTCTTATTTACTGATGGATCTGTTGGATACGATGTGGTATCTGCAAATATTCAATTCTCTTTCAGTGAGAGTTGAGACTCACTACAACTTTTTCGACTTTCGTTGTGTTCCATTTCTCATCTACCGATCGTTTGGTTGGATATTGTGTGGTGCTGAAATAGCCAATTCACTCTTTCAATGAGAGCTAAAACTGTTTACGTCCTTTTTCAACGCTTATTGTGTTCCATTTCCTACTCATGTTGTGGGCGGGCGAGTTCTAGTATCTGGATATCTTTACATTTCGGTAATCCAAAAGCAATCGCAATCATTCACAACCTTCTTCAACGAACGTTTCTTTCCATTGCTCATATATTACTGGTATATTTATATGTTGTAGTATCTGGAAACTACATTTTAGTGATTCTCAACTGTAATTACAGTCTGATAAAGGGGTAAGAAAAGAAGGTGTAATTTACTCTCATCCTTCCATGAGGTTCTAAGTGCAGAAAGCGTGTTCGTGGGGAGAGTACTTATCAAATACAATGTTCCTCTGGATGATGGGAAGTGCAGGGATCAAGCGGCAGAGGACTATTCTTTTGCTGCTTTTTTGGTTAGTGCGACCCAGGAAATATGGAAAAATAAGGTCCACAATGTTTGTACTTGTCTGGGGTATGCGTCCAAGGAAATCTGATAATATGGAATCCGTAACGTGTGTGATGGTTTGGGTTCCAGCGGTCCCAAAATGGGAGTGTGGGCTTACGAAGTTTGTCTTGTCTCGCTCGATGGAGATCAAAGTCAGCTTCTGCGTCCGCTGTAGCTAAAACGAACAGTCTTTGCGCTGGTTACTTCAAAAAAAGTGTGCAAACCAAGAAAGTCAACAAATGTCTTTATCTATAATAGCAGTCAGCAGGAATTAAGTTTATGGCTGCGTTGTTTATTAGGGTCATTCTCAATTTTGACTCCCTTTTATGTGCAGGTTATAGCAATTCTGCTGAATTTCTTGGTGGAGTTACATGTACTGGTCGTCGTTTTATGGACTTACTAGATGGCAAACCCGGCTCCGCCCGGGGCCAAACTTTGCACACATACACTTCGGGGCAGGGAGCGTGTCATAGTCCACTTTTCGTTATCGATCGATGTCGATTTTATCGATTTTTTGCAAAATTTGAGCTACGGGGCTGGGAGTTGGCACAGGGGGGTAATCGAGCATGCTGATCAACCCCTCCGGGGTTGATCAGCATGCTCGATTAAAATCCTGTGCAAAATCCCAGCCCCCTAGCTCAAATTTTGCAAAAAATCGATAAAATCGATATCGATCGATAACGAAAAGTAGCCTATGACACGCTCCCTGCCCCGAAGTATATGTGTGCCAAGTTTGGTCCCGATCGGTTCAGAAATAAAAATTTCTATTCCGCACATACGTACAGACAGACATACAGACATACATACAGACAGACATTCAGCTTTATATATAAGATACTATAGACTTCGAATCCTTTCTAAATGACTTAATCTGCAATGCTAAACTGCTGTTAATGCAGTTGGCGGTCTTATCGCCACTACAAAACTGTATATAACATGTTTATTATCCCACAATACGTTTATCGCTTTTCTTGCGATTGTCGCACGAAAACGAAAACATGTAAATTATTAACGTTTGTTCAAGAAGATAGCTAACACAACTGAAAATGTCATAAAAATTATTGCTTCTCTGCTTAGACTGTATTCAATTGTTTCACACCCGTTTCGTAATTGCTCGGTTGCAACAACCGCTCAGACAAAAATTCGCAGGTCCTGGAACCGAGCTTCGGCCAAGCGGGTACATACTTAGGAAATTTTCGGTTCGAGTTCTTGACAAAATGTCTGCGGCAAGAAACTGTAAATCTGGTGTTCCACAAGGCAGTGTCTTATCACCAGTTTTGTTCGTTGTATACACTATTGACTTACCTCAGTTCCTCATCGCTGATCCGAAAATTAGAGTTGCCATGTATACTGACGATGTTAAGATCTATATCGCTTATGACCAGAACGACAAGGTTAATGCTAATATTGCACTTCGTAGCTCGATTTCTCAGATGAACGCTTGGGCTAGCATATGGAATATCAAGGTAATCTATTTCAAAAGCTGCACTATTCCCATTGGAAGAACGCTCATTGAACCGGAAGAAAATTTTGATCTCGAATGCAAATTCCTGATTAAAGATCAGGGCATCTATACTGATTCGAAACTAAGATATTCTATTCATATTGACGAAATTACAACTTGAGCGACCCGAATACTCTATGCACTAATGCGCACTGTACAATCTACCGATCCCAAATTACTTTTGAGGATCTACAAGACTTTGTTCTTCTCGTGGTTGAATACTGCAGCTATATATGGAATCCTACCTTGAAAAAAGACAGGAAAAATTAGAAAAAATTCAGAAAACCTTTACCAAATTTGTTTTATTCGTGCCTAGATTAAAGGCAGTGTCCGGGCAAAAATTCGATTTTGAGATTTTGTTCGTACCCGGGTCTATTTGCTATGCTGAATCCGAAAATCCACACTGGAGAGTGCAAAAAACGGCGAAAAGCGGCTCTAACGCAGGAGGGAAATCAAGAGTGGGCGGGTTCTCCCCACTGTGAATTCACGCTCCCAGCTTCCGGAGCGATCTTTTCGGTTCCGATTTCAAGTCAACGCTCGCAACTAGCCTTTGGAAATGTCAGGCCGGCTAGCGGAATTGGAATCATCGCTCCGGAAGCTGGGAGCGTGAATTTACATTGGGGAAGACCTCGCCCACCTGCTGATTTCTCTCCTGCGTTAGAGCCCTTTCTTGCCGTTTTCGCTCTCTCCAATGTAGATTCGGATTCAGCATAGCGAATAGGCCCGGGTAAGCACAAAATCTCAAAATCGACTTCTTGCCCGGATACTGCTTTTAATGCAAATTATCCTTCGATCTACCTAATTATAAGACTAGAATACGCAAATTAGGTCTCAAAACGCTTTTCTATAGAAAAATTTTAGCAGACATTCTGATGGTCTTCTAAACTCTACTAACTGAGGTAGGTTTGAAACCCAGTAAATACTGGTCTTTTCGACCTATTAGTGAACGTCGAGTTTCTTTCAATTTGTCTACTTCTAGATTTGGCAGGTACAATGTTCCACTACAACGCAACAATTTCTTTTATCGAGCAACCTCAATTTTGAACAAGTTACCGCCTTCTTTCTTATCTATGAATTCAAGTGCTCATTTGAAGAACGCTTCGAAAAAAGTAGATATTCTTCAACTACTGGGAATTGAGGACTTTGTATGATACTATCTTTACACCATGTTTTGGAGGTGAAATGCAAGTAACTTTAGTTGCTTTTTTGCTTTCAATCGTATCGGCTCTCATCGCTAGGAACTGCTTTTTTAACAAACGTGAAGTAGCTCTTGTTTTACTAACACTGTGGAGATACCCAACCAGCTTATGATTCATGCACCGATTCAGTCCTACACACATGTCTATCATTCCCAATATTAGACACTTTGTCTTACATTTAGTTGGTAGTTCGTTTGCACAAACACGGAGATAATGGAGCAAAAATTCAGCCCTTGTATGTATGTATGTATGTATGTATAATGGACAATGGATCGATGGATGGATCAATGGTTTGGTCAATGGATCGACCGCTGCATCACGTACCACCAAAAGTGATCTTTTACTCCTACTTTATATATCTCCGTTGTTCTTGAGCAATATGATATACTAACCATTATCCTGATATGAGATCAAAGCTTCTAACAATGTGTTGAATCTTTCAATTCGAAACCATGACCAATCACCTGCAAAACCCATCTATCAAAAAATCCATCCTACACGATATTTTTTCACATTACCAACAATATACGTTTGCATAATTACAGTTTTCGCTCTCATCTCCTGTCCTTCAAAATTTTAAAGATTTTAGATCACTGCCGGACGATACTGTGCGAAAGCGAAAGCTAGATTAATCAATCTTGCATTTTTTCTCTCATTAGTTTGATTGAGTGCAGTTTTTTCGTTTATTAGTTACGGTTGTTAATAGCACATTGCTTGTTCGATGTATTTTATACAAATATAAATACACCGACGAGCGTCGGACTCGCCGAACCGGGAAGTGCGAGCGGGAAGGCATGACAGCCGCCACCATGCCTGAAATGCGGCCGAGGTGCGGTAAAGGAGAATTCAATGCAAACGGCCGCCAGGTGATTAAGGTCCCCACAGGAAAGCGTAAAGCGCGAGGGAGTGTTGGACTCGCCGGACCGACAAAGCTGTCTTGGATTAGCTTACTCAAAAATTGCTATTATCTTCCATGTGATGTTTTCTAGTTTAGCAAACGTATCAAGTGTTGTGTACTTTTGACTTAGACTCAAATTTTTTGCAGACTTCTAAATGGTCACCTCTCTTTTCAAAATCACTCTTT